ATATTGTGTGTAGATTTAACAAGTTAATAAATAAAGGAATGTGCGTTTGGTACTATACTTACTTTCTTACTTACTTAGACTCTAGCATCACAGCCCATTGTACATCCTCAATCGTATTGGCATTGGCACTCATTATAAAATTTTCTGTATAAAATTTCAAGACCGATGCATGGCTTAGAGTGATTGGCACTGTTACCATAGGCCAATACAAATTTTTTTCACCCCCATTCATTCACCCGAATGTAAATGTAAACTCTAAGCGAGTTATGTCCACACAGCTACTTGAGTTGGGGGCAGTGAGGCAACATCGGATTTAGTTTTCTAGCCAAAATTTGTATTGACTATCTTAAATCAATTAACCCTTACCACTCTCATGTAGGACTATGTCCTACACCCTAGGACCTAAAATCTATCAAATCTACACACAATGTAAATGCTTAGCAACAGTATATGCCTACATAACATTTTATTATTTACGTATATCTTAATATCACGTCATCAGGTGCATAAGATATTACATGATTAATAGATTAGTGTTATTTTAATTTTGATAGTATTGATTTTGGTGTCACTTATTATTATGTGTAATTTTTTTTACTTTTAACCTTTTTTAACTGTCCAGATGAACAAACTAGAATGCTCACAAATAATTCATCAAAACGTTTGCCAGAACCTGCCTCATTACAACCCTCTGAGCGAGGATAATTTAAACGGCAACAGTTCGTGTAACTTTTCTGTACACTAAATAAAAAGTCAACGGTTCAGTAACACAAAATTAATCGATTTTAACACTTTGGATTTATATAAGACCTTTGCCTGGGCATATACAATGAATATATGTCATTGACAGAATAATTGGAGAAATGTAAAAACTAACACAAAATGTTCCAATTTTCAAATAGCTCTGGAGCCTAAACGGTTCATCGGAGATTTACACATTAGGGGTACATTTTGTAGCAAATTTTGTGTACTTTATTTTTTATAACATAGACTAATAACAAAAAGTTCATAGTTTCTAAGTTATAAGCTAAATATTACAAAAAATATAATTTTTTCCATATTTTTCTCATTTTTGTCAATGTTGCGTCAAGAACTTTTGTTGGCAAACCTCAGATTCGGATTCAGCACCCCAAAATACATAAGAAATGGAAAAAAATCAAAACTACCCCAAAACTTTCCTGGTAAAAACACAAATTAACTGAATTACAATATCTTTCCAGAAACATTTATTTGATAAAATGCCACGCTGTTTAAACCCGTTGCACTTCATAATAGGAAATAGGAAACATAATATTTATCATTTATCAACATACAACAAGGTTTCTTATTGATTGGCTAAACAAATGAACCACTACACGCTCCATTTCGTTAAGTAGCCTGAAAATGTCCCTGCATAAAAACTCTAAATGATAACTTATTCTCAATCAAACATAATATTTTTTTATTTCCATATTTCAATGCTAATTGTATGAAAAAAATAAAATATTATAAAAACTAAAATTAAACGGATTTTAATACTGTCTCTTTGTTTTAGCTTAAGATAGGTATTTTAAGGTTTGATAGCCCTTTACTAATATATAGTTAATTACTAATTTTTATCTATTAATTATAATGATTTAATGTAAATAAAATAAAAACAGGTAGTGCGTCTTTCGTTTTGAAAAATACTGGAAAATCTAAAAGTAACTGTCATTTTATATTTTCAAGATTTGTTATTATATGTTTTAAGTATAGAAATTTTATAAATTTGTAAATTACAAACGTAAAATCTTCATAGATTCCTATCCATGTACTTATATATTTGTAATTATTCACGTTACGTCCCGATTAAATTGGACTTCCTTGTTTATACTAAGTCTGGTTGTGTACGTTAAATCATTAACATATAAATTATATTATTGACAAAAGATTATTAAAATAATAATATTTTTGTAATATTTGTCGTTTTACAACTCAAAAAAGATTCTATATCAGTGTGTTATTGCTGTTGAAGTGTACATCTGTTTGCCACGCAGAGTTCCCTGCGGCGTAGCTAATTTAGCATTATATTGCAACACCGTGCTGTGTGTGAATTGTGTCTAAGATGTACCTCATGTATATATTTCAATTTATTCTCAAAAATGTGTTTAAAGAGATTTTCCTTAAAACTTGAATTGATAAAAGCTTATACTAAATAAAAAATACATACTCGTGATTTTTTTTTCATTGCATTTTTCTAATAATTAAAAACTAAGTCATATGTCATTTATTCAGCCAAATTAACGGAATGCTACTATTGTTAGTTTATAATTAAAATTCGGTGAAGGATTATGAAATCAAAAGTTACCAATCCTAACTTACAACTAAAGTAACTGCCTTAAATTCAGACTAAGTTTAATGTGTATTATTTAAATTTTCTTCAAGAATTGGTATTCAAATATAAAAAAGTAAAACTTATATTTGATCGAGGAAGGGTTATTATTATTTAGGGTTTTTATGAAGATGTTTTAATCTTCTCAATGAAACTGAGGGCCAGCCTTTCTTATACAACAATAATTCTTTAAACCACTACCAAACTGTGTAGCATATTGAGATATTGACTATTTCTTATTATAAAGTGCAAAGTTTATAAACAGCGTAGCATTTTATCAAATATTTCCTGAATGATATTGATAAATATTCCGTCACTTATAATATTCGTCAGAAATATATAAACAACCACATAAGTGAGATTGTTTAGGATGGTTTATTTATCATTGGGATATTGCTTAATTCCTCAACTACTACAATGATATACTTTCTAATGGTTCGATAGACATGAACATGAAACCAGCGACCAGCTAATGATATCTATTAACTAATGACACTGATGTTTATAGGAAAACACATATACCGTGATGACAAACTGTTTTTATCTTCCGTTCTGTGTAGAAATCTATTGTCTTAATGCCGTAACAAAAGCTGAACGTTGTAAGCAAACTAGGCCAATGGTTCAGTTCCCAATCCCTAGTGAAAATATCATATCTGCAGAGTTACATTTTACTGCATTGCCTTACAACATACGATAAATATTAATGCATTTCCTATATTGTTAGTCTGCAGTGTATTTCTATAATGTTGTACACCGACCAAGAATAACTAATCACACATATTTTACACGTATGAAATTTGTAAGAAACTTAATATGTTACAACTATTAACTGGACCGTAAGTTGTATAGTTTTAATACTTCATTCTACTATCTTAATGAATTCCCGTGTAAATATATCAACTACAAATCTCATTTTAGACATTACGCACAATACAGTTTCCCATCAACCACTTAACATATTTGATACATTATGCTCATTATTTATTAATTGAACCACCGTTGCACATTAACAATTTCATTAACATTGTATTCGTATATTAAGAAAGTTTATTTTTCTAGTTATAGTACAAGTTTGTGTTCGATTTCTATTGTCAAAGGTTTTTTTTAAATAGTCAAAACCTTTTCTGATAAAAAGTATATCTGCTTTCAAGACACGCCCGCTAAAACAGTATGGATGAACAATTTATAATGTAGAGTCGTACAATTTGTGAAGTTGAAATTACAATTTAGTAGCAGTTGTTAATTTTGCAGTAACGTAAAAAGTTATAAATACGTAGAAAAGTTTACTGTTTCCCGAACGCAATGTTGTTGGTAGTTTGCAGCAAGTTGCTTTGGGGCGTCGTAACCATCAGTCACTTTTACGGTCATTTTATACTTCAGCATCGGGTAAACTTTTATCTCTGTACTATAACGAGTAAAGTTAAAATTTTATATAGATTTAACTTGTATAAATATGTTTATACACAAATAACAGTTTTAAGAGCCCGTGCCAAATTCTGGAGCGAAGGCCACCAGAAAAGCCTCCTTTTATTTTAAACTTGTCCTCAAAAGATAAATGTTTTATTGATATTACATTTCAATTGTGTCAGGGTTCTAAATACTAGGATTTATATGAGTATGAGGTATCAATTATTAAGATGGTCTTTCAAATCATTTATAGAAATTTTTCAAATACAATAAGGTATCTACAAGCATGTATATTATGTTTCTGATATTTATTGATACTTTGTTTAGATATTATAAATACTATTAATTATTTGAGAAATAAAGCTAAGTACAGTTAAATTGGTATCGTAATGCCCCTCAATTACTTATCAATTAATATAAAGATTGACTCAAATGTCATTGAAAGATTTTTCCACGAGAACTATATTTTGTACCTAAACGATTATTCACAAAAAAAATATGAATGAAAAACGTTTTTGTCAGTGGTGAATTATTTTAAACGCGTCTTATGTTCAAGTTTCTATTAAAATCTGAATTTACCATTATTTTGATCTTTCAAACATAACCCGTTACATAAATTAGCTTGATAAAAAATGAAATTCAGATAGTGTTGTTCAATCTAGTGTTGCAGTGCAATAGTACAGTGTTGGACTTATTGGACCGTGTACATTCTAACTTTATGGCCGGTCTTGTCAGCTGTGATATATTACCCCTACAACTGGATGAAAATAAATATTATCCTTGACAAAATAATTTTGTATTAGGTACATTGTAAAAGTTCCTCTGTTATGGTTGTAATGCGAAAATTTGTAAATGGTGTGTTATGAGCCATTATGCACTATAATTATATTTTTAACATTTTTGTTTAGGTAATAATTTGTATTTATGTGGAAGCCTTTCGGAATTGGTATTCAATTATAGCTGGTTGCGTACCTTGGCGTCCAGAATTCCACAGTCAAACTTCTGTTGACTGTTTACGACTACCAAGTAGTCATTTTCAAAAAAATGTCGTCAATTTTAGTTTACAGCCATTTTTATTTTTTGGTATCAAATCGTCGAAACATACCTTTCTATTACTTGGTTGGTCTATAAAAACTGCTTCCAAATCAAGTAATCGTTTTTGCACTTAACAAACACCTGTAATCAACATTAGATTAAGTTTACTGCTAGCACTGTAAGCTGACTGTCATTGTGTTTGTTACAGTGAGCAAGTTTTTGCGCAATGGAGTGTCAGACAAGGACGATAGTTCGCCTTACTTCGAACAGTCTCTGTATGAGGCTGAGGTGGACGAGAATGAAGAGATCGACACAGCAGTGCTGGCCGTCACTGCAGCTACAGCGAATAATGGTGAGCGAACAGGACTAAACATAAAATAGACACAATGTTATGTTGTAGCATGTAAAGCATAGTAGGATAGTCCTCTTGGAACGGTGTTTCATCTTAAACTAGTACTACAAGGATCTAATGTAATGCACGAAATAAATAACAATCTCCATTCAACTAGACTTTGTAAAAAAAAAGAAAAAAACTTCAACATCTCCAAAATATAAATATGCAAGTATTAATATTAAGGGTTGAAACTTGGACGTAAGCTACCAATATAAGTTTTCGAATTAAGTTTGGCTTAGGGGTATATACTATAATAAGTTTCGGTATATAGCTAAAACATGATTATTTTTACTAGGCATTTGATTGTCAAAACATTATTATACTAAGCGAAAAATAAAAAGTAGATTTAACATGCATCATTAATCAGTTTGGTCCAAAGTGATGAAGTTGTAATTATTTGTGTAATTAAACCAAAATAAAGTGAAACTGCAAATTTTAAGCAATAAATCGAAAAAAATGTGAATAATACTTAATACAACGCATGCAAAATCTTATTTATTTGATTGACAAAGCATGATTATAATTAGTGTCTTAAAAAACCATTGTGAAACCAGGTTAACCGCTCTTCTAACGTTAAAGGTTAAAGCATAGATAAAACATACATGGTTAAAGTCTAAGGTTAAATTAAAATATTCACTGCTAAACATTCCAGGTTGGATTCTAATGTATTTGTTTCCAGCGACGAATATTCGATACGAGATTACAGGCGGTAACGTAGCCGGAGTGTTCAACATAGACCAAGATGGCGTGTTGAGGGTAGCGGGTCCTATAGACTACGAGACGAAGAAACAGGTAATTTCTCATACTAACTGTTGCAATATTGTTACTATTTTAGCCACAAATTGTCAAATTATCCTAAATTTTTTAAGGCTAAGGTCTGGCATTTTCAGCATGAGGATTCCAATTTTAAATACTAAGTGACATATGTAGGCCATGTATAAGGTGTTTCCTAACACAAAAGACTAATCGCATACAGTAAAAACATGTATCTAGAGTGAACTTAGTTTAGTTTTACAAAAATACTTTGCAGTGTACGGCAAAGGTAAGTAAACTCGAGATTATCTAATGATTTAAAATCCGACCCTATCTCTAAATACCAGCTATCTCTAAATAATCAAAGCAAGCTAATACCAGTTCCGTAATATTAAAGAACTATTAAATTTTATATTCAAACCTCTCTATTGATGACAAATCTAATTATTACTAGAACGAATTATATATTGAATATTATATATTTTTTGTACGGCATGGAACGAATTCATAGCAAACACATTCCCCAATGAGAATTTGTTTTTTATTTTACTTTAAGAGAATTACTCAAGATTTGTATTAACCATAATCAGATCCACATAACGTGTATCCCGTTAAAACGGCTGTGTACAACGGGTCGCCGGAAGACTGCCCCCCGGAAAACTACCCCCTCCACCAAGCAGGTTCCTACGTCATATTGACGTCAGAGACCGGGGGGGGGGGCAGTTTTCCAGTCACGGACACTCAAATTTAGTTGTCAAACAGTTCTAATCTAACCTAATCTAACCAACCAAACTTGCTGTGACATTTCGAAAATCTGTTTTATATTCACCACATGCCTTTACTATTATCTAACGGAATTACTAAAATTAAAATTTAAATTACATAGCATGATTTGTCTAGGGGGGGGGGGGGTAGTATTCCAGTCGCGGACACGGCTTCCATATGGGTTAGTTAGTAGATTTTGTGACGTCACGTTTCACCTGGGGGGGCGGGGGTAGTTTTCCGGGGGATAGTATTCCGCATCCCCTGTACAACCACGGCCACCTTTAACTCCAGGCCGCGCCCTTCGAAGTGGTAGCATCGCAGGTAGGGTTGTATACTGGGCTATGAAAATATTGAATCCACTTTAAATATAAAAAAAATACATTTCCAACTTAAATATTGTTTGGTTTTCAATTCTATACGTTTTATTTTCAACCTTTTATTACAGTTGTGTTCATAAATTTAAATTTAAATGCAGCTAAATTGTAGGTAGCTAATAGTATTTGTGTATTTTTTTTATATGAGAGCTACTGGGCTATGAAAATATGATATCCACTTTAAATATCAACTTTAAACGTCAATGTATTCACCAAATTAACACGAAACTACTTGCTCGAAATAGATAGTATAAACACATTTTTTACCTCATTGGTCTAACAATACATCATAGTTATTTTTAATAATCTTGCACTTATTAAGTCAGGGATGCTCGATATGTTCAAATAAGCTGTAAGTTCAGGACACTCCAAAATAGTACTGTAATCACGAAGATTGACAGTATAGGGTCAGTTTTCAAATAGATAGGTAGATGAGGTTTTGTTGTGATAGGTTGCTGTGTTAAAGCTATTGTTTGAAGCCTAGTTTTATATATTGTTTTAATTTTGTAATAAAAATACTATGGTAATGGTGACGGGCTGGACTTTTCAACCACGAGTTGCTCCAACTACCAAAAATGTTTGTTTCCCGCACAGGTTCTGTAACCTCAGGGCTTTATTGTTCGTTATTTAATAAAATAATTAGTTAGATTTATGTTGTGAAGAGTATTGTGTTTTTAGTTTATATTAGAATAAATACAATAACATGTAATACTAATGTAATACTTATGTACAACCTTAGTGTATAAATATGTATTGTATTGTACCTGTTGTATTTGAAAAAAACAATAAAGAATTTTTCAATTCAATTCAATTAAAATTTATATACCAAATTAGATTTTCAACTTAAATATTGTTTAGGGTTTCAATTCTGTATGTTTAAATTTCAATGTTTTAATAAATTTATTTTCATACATTTTAATTTAAATTAATAATACGAAATTTAGTGATTTGGTGTCACCTGTCTGCCATGTTATCTTATGTATTTACAACAAAGGAAACGTGTTGAACATGAAATGTTTCAGCAATTTGGTTTTCTCCAAATAAAACGTGAGGGAAATGTTTAAAAGAACGAATCAGTCAGTTAGTTGTCAACTCACGTTCAAGAATATGTTAGGAAATACATTACACATTTAAAGTGGATTAACATTGCAAAGCAGATTTATGTATATATTCAGTGATATAACGTTGTAGAAAGGTCAATTTTATTTTTTTTACGAAAAATGTATCTATAGTAGAGAGCTATAATAATATTTACTAATGTAATGTAGTTATCATTGTGCAGACAAAAGTTAATTTGTCTGAATGGTACATAAATAACAAATACCTCCGTTGGAGTTTGAAGTAATATATATTTATATATATTGTTACATATGACTAGTAAAAAAAAAATATAACAATCGCACTTGTGGTATAAGAGATATTTACACTATTTTTCTTGTAAATTCAATTTGAGACTCTTAAATTCTAAAAACTAATACCAATCATAAAATCAAATAATCTTAAGATAAAATGACCGAAAACCCTCGAAAAGATTACAGAATGTGACGCCCCATGTACTTCTGTTAAAGGCAACTTTTCTCGTAGTAAACCTAATATAATACTATCTAAATGTCTCGGGGAAACCCAAATGACTTGTCTATAGAAAAGTTCAGTGTTTCAATAAAAACATGCTACCGATGTTTCAGTATTTGTAAAATGTATTTTAATTCCATCACCACAGTATGACCTGCGAATAGTCGCTTCGCACAACACGAGTGCCAGTTACACATCTGTGGCAGTAAAAGTCAGAGACTCCAATGACAACCCACCGGTTTTTGAGCGACCCGCCTACAAGACACAGATCACCGAGGAAGATGACCGAAACCTGCCCAAGAGAGTGCTTAAGGCAAGTCCGCAAAAAGTAACACGTATAACAAAAGTGGTTAACTATTGCAGACAATCTATGTCAGCATCTTCTTAGTAAGGTTTAAACTTGGTTTTGCATGGCTTTCAGTGCTTTATTAATACATTTGATCCAAAAAATATAGGGAATACAGGCATTTACGGAATATTTGCTTAACAAAATGTATATTTAAGAAATAAAAATCTATTAGTTCTTAATCCATTTTGACACTTAATAGTACTGCTTAGAAGTGGTCCGGTATATAAACTTGTAACTTCCATTCATCACAGTAATTATTTCAAACCATTACTTTATTAAGTACTGTTGAACATCACCGACTATCTCTTGATTTACTAACCGTCAGAGATCAACAAAAACTTCGCGAGGAATTTAATAACACCCGACATTGTACACGCCTGCTCTACTTTGACAGAATAACAATTACCAAGCTACAAATTGCATTTCAGACTTCTTATCACTTTACATTAGCTAAGTACAGGTGTCGGATGGTAAATCAAAGACTTCAAGGGTCTACCAAGGTGTCCCGCAGGGATCAATCCTTGGTCCAGTTTTGTTCCTGATTTATGTCAATGACATCCACTCCTCAATGAACAGTGGGGAGATCATACAGTATGCAGATGACACGACTCTCTATTTTGAATCAAATTCCCAAGAAACCCTTGAAATTGAAAGCTTCATCAACTTGAACGCCTGCATTCAAAAGTTCCAATCCGAAAATTTAAGCACGAACAAATCAAAAACATGTTACATTCATTTTGCACTTCGTCACCGTGACGATGAGTCTACACCCACAGTAATGGTAGATGACACCTCTCTAGAGGAGGTTGATTCTATCAAGTTCTTAGGGATGCACCTGGATAAGGCGCTGAACTGGCAAGATCACATTGATAGCCTCTGCTCCAAAATCACAAAAGGTATTTTTGCCTTAAGGAATCTCAAACAGACCTGCACAAAACAAGTTCTAATCATGGCCTATTATGGCCTTGTTCACCCCCACCTTACCTATGGAATTAGGTTATGGGGTGGTTGTTCCAATCGAGATTTTGAAAGGGTGTTTATACTCCAGAAAAGAGCCATCAGACTCATTGCAAATTTAAGTCAACATGAAAGAGAGACGTGTAGGCTTGCTTTCAGGGAGCTTGGAATCTTGACACTACCTTCCCTTTACATTTTGGAGACTGTGGTTTATTGCCGTTTCCAACACTTACCAATTCAAGGCAATGCTATCCACAGCTATGGAACTAGAGCAAGGGACGATTTTCGCACTGTCCAACACCGCACAGCTGCGTTTGCGAAACTCCCTTCCCATGTAGGTGTCGGGTTCCTTGACGCTCTTCCTGAGAGACTAAAAAGCCTGGAGAGTTCTCATTTGTTCAAAACAAGACTGAAGAGAGAGTTGACGAATCTTGTGTTCTACGGGGTGGATGAGTTCACTAAATACCGTTGGAGTTGAATTGATCACAAAATTTTCTTCCCCAGGGGTTTAGTTAGATTTTAGTCAATGTTTATTAAAATAATTACTGTTATTTCTTTTAATAGGAGTTTATTTATTGTCATTAATTAATAGTTTATTCATTTACTGTTTTTACAAAGTATATATATACAGATTTTATAAATAAACACCTACCCAATATCCGACCTTAGTTTACACAGCTACATGTTATATTTTATCTTATTTGTTGCATTTTTTGTATTGACTGACGTTTGCTATACAATGTACAATTGTCAAAAAGCAATAAAGAGATTATTATTATTATTATTATTATTATTATTATAAGTAGGTCAGATAGGAGTATTAACACGAGTAATTATGGAAATTATAAAAATAATAAATAATAAATCTAACATACACACGTGTAGTGGTATGTTAGATGTGTTACCTTTGATCAAAGGGGGTTGGCTTATTAAGTTTAACGGGTTGAACTATACAAATTTGAATATATTATTCATGCACTCACCCTCATAAAGAACTAGCTTCTTAGAATTATTTATTATTCCTAAGATCTACTAATTAATTGTTTGATTTGTCCTCCTCCCGCCTTATATTTATTGAAACATATAATACATTGTAATTTTAGAAGAAATACCTCTTACCCATGACTAAAATAAAAGATATTAACTAATCTTATTTATATTGATAATCGGTGTACAAACAATGATAACCATCAAGTCACCAATTGACAGATTGATATCTACATAATTACTGGGATTTATTCTATTGACATAGTAAATAAAAATCTTAAATGTGTAGTTCCGTTTTGACGACTCTTTATAATAATCACAATTTTGTAATATGCGTCACACATTACTTGTACAACCTAAAAGAACTAATATTTTACAATACAATACCATCTCACGATTCAATAAACAAACTTCAAAACAAATAATCACGTTTTGATTGTTTGCCATTTTACTGAACAATAAAGGTTCCACATCGCCGGAGGTCGTGGGATGCAATTTAATTGCAACCCATCTGTTGCAATAACATTGGTAGCAATGTTGACAGAAGTTTTATTAACTTCAATTACAAATCGTAGGTGACGTTTATTAACTTTGACATTGGATCACCTTTATTACATAATACAATACAACTTAGATCATTGTAGGCTTTGTGATTTAACTCAAGATTGCAAGTTTCTGTTAACATTTAGAAAAATAAACGGTATCACCAATTTGAAACTTTCTCCCATAAGCTTGTCAACAACCTTTATTATGGGTAAGCGTTGGGTGTAACTATGATCTATTATAGGGAAAATCACATAAGTTGCAATACCTTTTGAACCGTAACTGTTACAGCAATGGGGGATAACACTATTTCGTTAATAATTATAAGGACCGTAACGATTAACTTTAATCAAAACCTAAGTTTTTCCTAAAATTGATTTTTTTGGGTTTTTAAGGAAATTAACATAAGTTACAATAACTTTTGAACTCTAAGGTAGTAAACTATTTACAGAGTTAATAATATAAAAAGGAATACAATATCTATGTCAAAGCCACATAATAATCAGAATAAACATTTTATATCTGTAAAAAGAAACAAAAGTAAAATTGGATTACAAGAATCTGGCCTCACCTTTGTTATATTTTACAGGTGGTAGCAACCGATGGCGACCTAGACAGACCACAGAACATAGTGTACTCTCTGACAGGACAAGGTATTGACCCTGACAACCCATCAAACAGCAAGTTCACCATAGACAAGCGGTCTGGGGAGATATTTGTGTTAAAGGTAACTAACAGTATAACGATGAATACATGTAGAATAGCCAATCATTTCAACTGTTACAGTCTTTTAATTTTGAAAGTGATTAGTTTTTGAATTGGAATCGGTTTTGTTTACCTGTATTTCTTACAAGAATTTATACGTGTTGTAGCTAACAAACAGAGGGCTACAAAAAGGTTGATATATATGTATATGTGTTTAGTTGAAATGAATCAAGCGTTATTTAAAGGAACTGAAAGATAAATTTTATTTTTTACCCGAGATAATGTTGCACAAATATAGGACACGAAATATTTTAGTAAAGAAAATGAAGAATAGACGAATTTCTATTTGCCTGTTTGGAGTTTCACTTGAATATTACTTTAAACAGCAGTGATTATATTTATTCCAATTTATATAGCAGGTATATAACATAATTTATTTCTAATTTAATAGTAGATCTGACGAGTACTTAAGTTTGCTGTTCCAGAGAATGTAATAAAGTGAGTTTTCTTAGTGAAATGTTAATAGCTTAGTTTAAAATTCATACTGCCAAATTTTATAAAATGTATTTAAGGAAGCAAATAAAAACTCTTTTCTTGTTTGTGAAATAAAATGATTAACATGAACATAACACTGTAATTTAAATTACCAGTGTTTTCTCCTTAACCGCCAAACAATAAAACATAGTAGTATACGAACTAGTTTTTTAGGCCTTACAAAATGATTGGAAAGAAGCATATTATTTTCGAGTGTCTGAATATATTTATTTATAAGATACCGTACACAATCTTACCCCATAAAACCTCTTTTCCATTACATCGTTCGCAAACTCGTGTGAATAAATTAGGTTTACAAATTTCTACCAATCATCAATCAGTACATTTTTCATTCAAGTTGTCGTAGCAACAGACACATTATACGTGATCAGGTGGAGTTTTAGTCTTTTTTAAGAAATAAAAAAGTAAAACGGTCCTGGATTCACGTCTCACCGCGATACCTATGGAACAATATTGTTCTTTATTTGAAAATTTTTATAAAAGGTGTAAATTTGTATTGCCTACTAAATTTATGTATATAGCTTAAACCAAATGTTAGTGTAATCAAAAATTTACTCATTATTCTTATTATACTGACAATTTAAATGTTAACAAAGCACAATGTAAATTTTCCTGGAACAGATTTATTACATTTCTTTGTAATGTTTCCTCGACAAATTACAAATTTTGCGAGGTCGTTGTGAGAGGGATCATGAGAAAATGCAAACGAATTATCTCAAAGCGAAAGCTTCGCAGCCGGACAGATGGGAATGTTTTTGTTCTCTTGATTGCGCATAAAGAATTTTTAATTACGCAGCAGACCACAATTATCAGTGTATAAATATTTTTTCTTGGATACTTTTTTTGTGTATGTTAAATATAACAAGACATTATTTATGTCACACTATTGTGAAACAAACTATTCAGTGTAATTAGTACCCGGAAGCTAACCTGTATATAGTTTATTTGTATTTTTTTATAATTTAGTATCCCACGTCATATATACATTTTACAATATCTTAAAAAAGCACATTTCAATAGTATACATGTTACATTGAAACTTAACGTACCAGCCTCTCTCATTTTGGAATTATTTTACAAACATAAATTTCTGGACTTATGAAAATGATATCACTCCCTGGAGTTATGATTTCATTATAATTCACGGCGGGCTGCACGTCTTCAATAACGTTGGCTAAGACACGACTTATATTTAATTTATGTTTCCGAACTAGGAATCGTATATGCATACAAAAAGTTCCCATAAAAGAATCTGACAACATACAATTGTTAATGACCACAGTCAATGAATAGAACATTGACTTAAATTCCGAAACATAAGACCTTCATTTCAATGTTTTAACATTGGAATGGGGCTCCTAGTTCTATACTAATAAAGATTGTGAGAGTGATTTTAAACAAACATAAAATGTAACTTAAAAAAACTAGTTCCCGTGATATACTAAAATATTTAACCATGTATTTGCAGCCTCTGGACAGGGATCAGCCCAGAGGTAGACCAGCCTGGAAGTTCACAGTGTTCGCTCAGGACGAGGGTGGTGAGGGTCTGGTTGGTTTCGCCGATGTCCAAGTCAACTTGAAGGACATCAATGATAACGCACCGGCATTTCCTAGCAGCATATGCTATGGCAACATCACTGAAAACGGCGAAGCAGGTAATCCTATTATCCAAGCATCTAGTACTTTATCATCAGTATAAAACACAGATGCATATTGACCCAGGTCAAAATTGGTTATTCTAATTAACAAAATATAGTATGTTAATAATATTGTTTCATGTAACTTGAATCCAAACTGAAATATCTGGAAACTAAAATCGTTAAAACCAATTCCAAATTTGGAGTTTCATGAGCTAAAATAACAAACTTGTCATCACTAATTTCTATTACATCCGAACTAATATAATTCGCTTCCTCTTTTGCTATCATCTTCTGGTTTGGGTGAGCACAAAAGACACCTGATGTGCTCATATTATACTCAAATGTGTTTATGAAGCTCATCAATATGTATAACTAGGTCAAAGCAACAAACCACTAATTGAATTGTGTGATAATCTAATGCAAGAGTAAACTACATAAGCTATTCTTGTGTTAACTATGTTAAACACACAGTATTAACCAATGCGGCTGTTTCTATAGGTTAGTTTAAATATTAACAAACTGAACCGTAACATGAGTGATGCATACTTATTTACAAGTACATACTGGAACAAAACCGTTTTTTTATCAAGAAACTATTATTACTGCGCGTTCATAAAATTCTCATGCTCATGTTGGACACTTGGCAACAATTAATTACTATAATATAATTACACCTATTAGTTACAAATACTATTTTACTAATACACAAATGTTGAGTTTGCAAAATTAACTAAAAAATTATTACTAAAACTATAATAATACCACTAGTTATAGTAAAATCAAAATAGTAGTTCTGCTTTCAATGTCTAACGTTTGTAGATCTAAATACCACTCCAGGTGTAACACGATTTAATGAAATAAAGAAGCAACTCAGCGTAAAAGTTAAGCATTAGTGTCTTTAACTTGCGTGACAACATCAGTGAAAGTTACTAAAGTTGAAGTTGAATCCACCCAACGTATCAATCACATAACAATCGTTTTAATTTAAAAATTATTAACATATGCCCAATGCAAGTGTTAAAGTACGATTGTGAATAAAATTTAAACATAACTTATTTAAAACAAGAAATTTATCCTTGATAGTTGTGCATAATTTATATTACACCGATTCGATTTGCTGTACCATAAAAACAACATCATAAACGTTGCTAAAAAAGGAACAAAAAAGTGGATTTTTGTATACAGGGTGAGTTTTAATTGTCCCCCCCCCCAACTTTTTTCTACATTTTTTCAAATATCAATCCCAGACCACTTCCAAACATTGTTGGGTAGTAAGTACTTCATTTTGACAAGGTGGCCATTTCCGGCCGCCATCTTGGATCCGCCATATTGGATGCAAAATTTTTTTTTCAAATGTAAAGGTGGGGTTGTGACCCATTATTTCGAACTAAATTTTTACCCTGATTACAATGCCGCAAACCGTTTAAAAAAATCTTGATTCGTTCTAAAGTTATGAGGGCTTTTAAAAACTTTATTTTTAGCCCATTTTAACATTGTGCATTTACAAACTAAGACCATAATCTCAAAATAGTGCTAGATAAAGATAAGTATACACTACCAGTAATTGTCGACCTATTTTCACTTGGTTATGACTGATGTATTTTTTCCGGCCGCCATCTTGGATCCGCCATTTTGAAATGTGATAAATTATTTTAAATATGAAGGGGGTGTTGTGACCCATCATTTCGAACTACTTTTTTAAGCTGAAGACAATGCCGCAACCCATTTTTTGTTATCAAGTTTTATTTATGAAATATTGAAATTTTTTTGTTAAAAATGTCAATATTTCAAAATCAAAAAATGAAAATGAAAAACGGATCATGGAATTAAGTTCAGCTTAAAAAAGTAGTTCGAAATGATGGGTCACAACGCCTCCTTCATATTTAAAATAATTTATCACATTTCAAAATGGCGGATCCAAGATGGCGGCCGAAAAAAATACATCAGTCATAACCAAGTGAAAATAGGTCGACAATTACTGGTAGTGTATAATCATCTTTATCTAGCACTATTTTGAGATTATGGTCTTAGTTTGTAAATGCACAATGTTAAAATGGGCTAAAAATAAAGTTTTAAAAAGCCCTCATAACTTTAGAATGAATCAAGATTTTTTTAAACGGTTTGCGGCATTGTAATCAGGGTAAAAATTTAGTTCGAAATAATGGGTCACAACCCCACCTTTACTTTTGAAAAAAAAATTTTGCATCCAATATGGCGGATCCAAGATGGCGGCCGGAAATGGCCACCTTGTCAAAATGAAGTACTTACTACCCAACAATGTTTGGAAGTGGTCTGGGATTGATATTTGAAAAAATGTAGAAAAAAGTTGGGGGGGGGACAATTAAAACTCACCCTGTAGATACAAAATACCGTCTAAACTACATTATTATTAACATTTATTTTAAATCCTTTTTGTCGATAACTTTTATCGAAATATTTGGTGAACACTAAAGATTTTGCATTTCAATCTAGAAACAATAATAATATTGATAAAATATTACAACGGTTTCCAGATCAGTTTCTTTAATTATACTCAAATCTACAGCAAGCGTTCGTTATAAAAACAATAATAAGGGTTTTTTTATTGATAAAAGGTTAGACATATCAGTATAAACTGTTTGTACAATTTATTAAAGCTATTTAAAACATAAAAACTTCAAAATTTTTGTAAAACCTTAGTTCAAATAGTTCCGATGTACTATGGTCATATATCTTACAAACTCGTTAATGATGGATTTGCAGGTGCAGTTGTGATGACTATGACTGCCATAGACCACGACGACCCCATGGAAGGTACAAACGCCAAGCTGAGATACTCTATAGAGAAGAACGTGATAGAGGAGGAGACGGGAGCTCCCATCTTCGACATCGAGGCAGACACCGGGACTATCAGGACTGCGGTGTGCTGCCTGGACCGAGAGAGGACGCCGGACTACGCGGTACAGGTGGTGGCCTCGGACGGTGGCGGGAAAAAAGGTGAGTCTGTTACGAACTATGAGTGCCAGTCAAGCTTTCCCGTAAAACATATATACCTTATGATTGATCAGGTTGCATACAGTGTAAATAAAAAGTCAAGACCCCCCCCCCCCCCTCTAAGATTTTTCCAAGTAAATACACAGAGATATCCTTTTGGTGGTCATGCAATCTTTAGCAGGAAGTTTCATTTTATGATTTTGAAATTATTGAGTGTCCCCCCAAAAGGGGGGATTTGGGGGCAACTCAAATATTTTAAATGTAAACCCCCTTTAAGTGACACCTCATTTTGAAGGGTTTGCAAAAACTTACAGAATGGTGAAAACTAGAGGTCGAATCGAAGGTAAACTCTATCCCAAAATGGTAAAATTGGTTGGTAATGGTAATATTGGCTACCATTTTGGATAGAGAAGAGATAGCAAACTCTGGATTTCACCAATCTTTAAGTTTTTGTAAACACTTCAAAATAAGGTGTCACTTGATGGAGGTTTACATTGAAAACTTTTTAGTTTCCCCCCAAATCCCCCCTTTTGGTGGGACACTCAAAAATTTTAAATGTAAACCCCCATTTAGTGACACTTCGTTTTGAAGTGTTTACAAAATTTAAAGAATGGTGAAAACTAGAGTTTTTCTATCTCCTCTCTATCCAAAATGGTAACCAATATTACCATTACGAACCAATTTTAACATTGATTTTCCACGACATTTTACGGGCTACCATTTTGGATAGAGAAGATATAGCGACCTCTAGTTTTCACCATTATGTAAGTTTTTTTTTTAAACACCTTGAAATGAGGTGTCACTTGAAGGGGGTTTACATTTCAAATATTTGAGCTGCCCCCCAAATCCCCCCTTTTGGGGGAACACTCAATAATTTCAAAATCATAAAATGAAACTTCCTGCTAAGTTTGCACGACTACCAAAAGGATATCTCTGTATATTTACTTGGAAAAATATTAGAGGGGGGGGGGTCTTGACTTGTTATTCACCCTGTAGTATATCCATTATATTAACGACAGATTATATAGGTGTCGCGGGCATTTTCCATTGTGATTAATGATGAACACTGTTTCAAAGAGGTTGTGGAATCTAAACCCGACTTAGGAGAGAGGTTGTCAAAACATTACGAGAATAGTACATAAACTCCAGCTAAGGCTGAAAAAACTGCAAAAATTACCCAAAGAACAACAGTACAGTATTCAAACGCTAATAAAAAAATCCTTAAATTAAATAAATAAGACAGTCAATCAGCAAACAAAGACCCTCCTTCGTTCCAAAAAAATAAATTTGTTGCTTATATTGTTTAATGCACACTATAGGCCTATTTATTTCTCATACCTTTTACCACAAATATCACATCCAGTTTTGATCTAAACTGGTTATAAACCATTTTAGGTACAGTATATCGTACTGCTACGTTGTAACATTATTAAATGTCTTGGCTTAATAGAAAGCCTTAGCGTTGTAGGATATCATAGTCTAATAAATTAAACACAATAAACAACTATATACAATAAAACCACCTTTAAATACTAAGTATAATATGTAGTGTTGAGTGTGGCATAAATATGCGTCCATATCACACCAACTAGAAATGCAGTTTCATTTCGGATGAAAAAGCAAAAGAAAATAAATTCTAATTTTGTGAAGAAAAAGCACCAAGTATAAAACCACCTTCAAAAGACTTACTATGAACGAATTATATAAATACATCAACAGTTTGTCAACACTTTCTTTAAACTAAACATATAAATATATCCGTAATAAGTTCTTTGACAAGTCACCCATATCGCAATACTCTTTAATGAACACTAGAGAGAATACAAAAGGCTGACAAAGCTAGTAATGAGTGGACTCAGTAGCCCTTCATTTTGACATGGCTCTTTATATTGTAGACGTCTGTGTCATTCTAATATTACTAGCCTGACATTTTATATTATTTCTGTTTGCATATAACGTGTCATATTTTGACATGATAAAATTTAAAGCGAAAAGATATTGTTATTTCACCAGGTGTTGTTTTATTACAACACCATATATACAGGGTTAGTAAAAAGTGTGGAGACCCCCTGTTATATTTTTAACGGCCCATACTAGAAAAACTAAACTCGGCACACCATTATGGCATGTTATGAAGTACTTTTTGGGCATAGCCGCCACTTGGCGTTCATCCCCAAAAAAACTAACTAAAAAAATGAAACTAAAAAATTTCAAATACAAAGACCCATCGAGTGACCCCTTATTTTAAAGGTCCTGGTTAAAGAAAACTAGAGGTCTTTATCTCTATCCAGTAAAAAATGGCAGCCAATTGAAATTCTCATAAGTTCCCAAACCCAAAATGGGGGATTTTGGTGGAAACTCAAAAATGTTAAATGATAAGCCCCATCGAGTGACCCCTCATTTTGAAGGTCATATTAAAAGAAAAGTAACAACGCAAACTATAGGTCTCTATCTTAACACAGTAAAATATGGCAGCCAATTGAATATAAAATTGCAAGTTATTTCCAATTTCTAAAGATTTAAATCAGCTTTCATTTTGTACTGCATTGAGATAGAAACCTCTCGTTTGCGTTGTTAGTTTTCGTTTACAAGGACCTTCAAAATGAGGGTTGACTTGATGGGGCTTATCATTTAAAACTTTTGAGTTTCCCCCAAAACCCCCTCATTTTGGGTTTGGAAAGCAAGTGGCTATTAGGCTTAAAAAGTACTTCATAACATGCCAAAAAGGTGTGTAGAGTTTAGTTTTCCTAGTGTTAGCCACTACAAAATTTATAGCAGGTCTCCAGACTTGGAAAGCTGTAAGGTAAATTGAACTTCTGAGAATTTCAATTGGCTGCCATTTTTTACTGGATTGAGATAAAGACCTCTAGTTTGCGTTGTTGGTTTTCTTTTACCAGGACCTTCAAAATGAGGGGTCACTGGATGGGTCTTTGTATTTGAATTTTTTGAGTTTACCCCAAAATCCCCCATTTTGGGGATGTACACCAAGTGACGGTTATGCCCAAAAAGTACTTCATAACATGTCATAAAGGTGTGCCGAGTTTACTTTTTCTAGTATGGGCCGTTAAAAAAATAATAGGGGGTCTCCATACTTTTTACTAACCCTGTATAATATCCACCATAACACCATCAGAAACTGATAATAATTATTGAAGAGAAACTTACACTTTAGATTACATATACACAACTCTTTGATACCACCCTAGTTATTAAGCATATTTTAAACTAAAAATATTGACCATATAGGTTACAAATTTCCAATGCATTCAGAGATTTCATGGAGTACTAGATGAAAAGCGACGTATTTTCGATAGGTAATATTATCATAGCAAGTAGTTATAACAGTCCTAAAATCATTACAATAGGTATATATGTGGTTATAACTACCAGGTTTTACAAAAAACTCGTTTCAAAATAATGTGTTTGACATTTTTTGTGTCTCAACTAATTTGAAGCTATATCCAGGGACGGGAACTGCCTCTATTCGTGTGACTGATGTTAACGACCGACCACCCCAGTTCACCAAGGATGAGTGGGTGACGGAGGTCCTGGAAACCAACGGAACAACACTGCCTTCTGAGCCCATCCTTACCGTTACTGTACTGGACGAGGACGAACAGAACGACTTCCACTACAAGGTAAAAACTGAAAAGTCTAAATATGGTTAATATTTGTAAAACTACCGTCGGGAATATTTATTACTATTTCTGATACTGTAGTTGCCTTATAAACCTTTAAAACAATCACACTAAATGCTACAGATTTACCACTTTTATGTAATTAAAATGTTTAATGAAAATCTTTTTTGGGACTAGATGGCTATTTTTGGCTCTTGTGAATGAATTAACTACCTTAAGTACCGCATCGCAAGTATGGAATGAAATTCCGTTTTATAAAGCTTTTTAAGAAGAAAATAGGTTACAGAAATATAGTAAAGGAAATGTGGTTTGGGAAATTGTTTGATATGTTATCAACATTAAAACATTAAGAATTGTCTGCCAGCATTTGTATCACTGAGTTTGTAATGCAATAAACAGTTAACTTATCATAACATGCCACAAAAGGTGTCTTGGGTGCAATAACAATAATATGTTTATTGTTTCTGACTGGAAACTATTATTTAGATTATAGCCTAAAATCTACCCCAATTTAGAAGCTTACGTACAAGTTTAATCTATATGATTCAATTTGAAGCAACGCTAATAACTGCTTGTTTAACAGGTTATAGAAAACAGTGGTTTTGGTGCGGACAAGTTTTCTATGGTTCGAAACCCAGACGGTACCGGGTCATTACTTGTAACCCAACCTTTGGACTATGAAGATACACTTCACAAAAACGGGTTTAGATTCAGAATACAGGTCAACGATCAGGTAATACTTTGTTTATTTTTCTTTAAAAATTTTTTTTGTTATACCTAATGGTAAACAATGTTTAATAAAGAGCTATATTTTATAATTTAGACAAAAAAGATCCAACGACGTGTTACTTCCATCCCGTTGGACTATGTTAAGCGTTCTTTGTGCTCGAGTATCACTTAGCAAAGGCTTGAACTTCTGCTCTTCACAAAGGGGGAAACGAGTGCAAATCCCAGTTTGACTTGTTTAGAGCGCACTGAATACAACATAATATGATTTAATTATGAAACAAACATTTTGAACTATACATGTTGAATGTCTTAGCCAGGTTTATAATTTGTTTCGAATTGAATAACGAAAAGTGTGTTTAAAGTATTCTTATATTATAACTAATGACACAATATTTTGAAATAAATGTTCTATTGATGTCCTTAATGATACAGGGTGTGAAAGGAGAGGCGGACAAGCTTCACACGGCGTACTCGTGGGTGGTCGTCAAGCTCAAGGACATCAACGACAATTATCCACAATTTGAGAGAAGCCATATTGAGGTCGCCATTGACGAGGATGCCGAGGTTGGCAGTCCTCTCGAGGTCTTTAGGTAAATAAGTTCTACTTATTACTAAGACTCACATATAGATAGTAACCCTCATCTGTCGTCAGTAGATGGCAGCTTCGCAAAATGGCTTCGTATATTTATGGCAGAATTTAAAACGAAGACTCGAAAGAAATCGATTTTTCGGCAAGGCCCTTCAAATTGGTAAATTGTGGACTTACTTTGGGTAACTAGAGGTGGAGGTAATATGAATACTTAGACGAAGCCTCTCAACTTTGTTTAATCGAAAAATTTGTACAACTTTGAATGTATATAGATTAGAACCGTTTATTACATGAGGGGTGTGATAATTTTAAGGATCGATAATATGTATACATATAAGCTATATGAGAGTTGACAAATAAATTTGTTTTGCCAGAGCTAAGGATCCGGACCAGGGGAGCAATGGGAAGGTAGTATACAACATAGACCGAGCGACTGACAGGAAACGAAACTTCCGCATCAGCCAGGATGGAACAGTTTATATACAAAGAACCTTGGACAGAGAAGAGAAGACTAACTTTACAGTAAGTTTGAATCAGAAGCATGACCATAAGTGTACATAGTTTGTTTGTTTGTTTTTTTTTAGAGAGGACCCTGTTTTTTTACGGAATTATTTTAGTAAACATGTATTTAAGAATCTGAACTCAAGGTATTGTGCGAAATGTTGAATCACACCAAAAATAGCTGTAGGTACGGTGTTTAAATGTTTAGTGAGGTGAATTCGTAAAAGTGGGTAAGCCCTTTTCCTAAAATACAATTTCTTGTTAAGATACAGATAAATTGCTTAAACAATTTATTTCCAAAGAGAGATGTTTTTAATTGGTAAAATATTATTGCTCCTGAAAGTATAAGACATTTAAAAATTTAAAATAAAACTGACTAACTCAGAAAGGTAATAGCATATTTCAGTACTAGTAACACTTTTCAACTCGAGCTCAAGATTCCCCAAACATATCTCATTTCCTCAAAATGACTTCCAGCTTGTTTCCATTTTTGCTAATTAAAACAAACAGGTGTTTAGTAAGTGTTTGGATAAAATAATTACTTCTATCATGATTGTGTTGGTGTAATCGATTTCTTACAATAATTTTTTGTTTTTACAACAGCAGATTTTTACTCCCTAGGAATAAAAGAGCTACATAAGACCCGCTATGTACGAATTGAAAACGTTTGTTTTGCTGCAGTAGAACAAAATATGAATAGCTTATTTATACTAGAAAAGTCAATGGTAATAGTTATTTTTAATATACCATAGACTAACACCTTCATTTTTTCAATATAACTGTACATCTGTCACAGCTACGTATTCTGGCTGCTGACGAAGGTAGCCCAGCTCGGACCTCCACAGCAGCCATGACTGTCCTGGTGTCAGATGTCAATGATAACGCCCCAGTGTTAGCTCACCAGTACAGACCAGTCATCATGGAGGGGGAGCCCAGCAGTAAGGTAAAGATAGCAATTATCATAATGATTAACCAATCCACATTAATAATATACCTAACAAAAGGACATACTTAGTGGTTATACAGAATGGTACACTAATCTGAAGAGTCTGTTTTGTCGTATAGAAATTAAATAAAGGGTATTAGAATATCTTTTCTTTCTTTGTCTTGAACTAAACAAGATTAAGGTAAGCATTATTTTTTATCTAGTTTAAATTGAAGATAAACATTAAACAAGGGAAACCCCTTTTCCCCTTTTGAAAGTCTTGCTGGATTAACATTTGGATGCTCTAAACCAAGGTTTTACTGAACCAAAAAGTTTCACTGATAAACAAAATATAGTCCTGGTGCAGAAATTTAGTACCACTAGCTTGCAATCACGAGTAGTGGTCATACTTGGTACCATGAGCACTTTGGTAGTTGTTGTTGCTGCAGAAGATTTAGTAAGATACCAGATTACAATACTACTGTTTTGTGTATTTTATAGTAAAATTCAGGTTAAAACTATTAACGTTAAGCTTTGTTAAATAAAAAAAATAATTTGAATCAATTAATATAATTTAAGACTGCTTAATTGTAACAATATATATTTTTTATACAATAAGTAAGGATTTCGTAGTAATAATTACGGCATAATAGTGAAACAGTTACATATTTGAACGTTTTACCATTGTAAAAGGCAAGTAAAAACAGAATAAAATACCAAAACAGTTTTTACAAAAGCTTACTTAGGAATTTACGACCAAAAAGCCCTCTTGATAGTGACAGTCAATAAATCGCATTCAAGGCATTCTTTCTTGTTTGGCGTCTGGTGTCCATTTGTCTCTAGGTCAATCAGGCTAGTTGTTGGGCTTGTCTTTTAAGGTCAATATTTTAAAAAAGTTGGTGATTTATTGTAATGACGAAAATATCGATAGTCATTTACTAGCAACAACTTTCAACTATAGGCCTTATTGTATTTAGTTAAAGGTGTTGTTAGTAATGTGTATACATACAGTTTCTATATTACACATTTAAATCGTAAGGTGATAGGTTCTAGCCCAAAATCGAGTATCCATTAACATACTAACTATAACATAGCTAAAATCTATTGGTGCTCAGCATGAAATAAACCCCGGAACCTCTTAGACAAAGGCCATTTACTCTATTAGCCAAGCTTTCTCTCAATATGTAATACTGTGTATACATTAAGAAGAAAATATTCTGTACAGCATTTTTCAAATCACTTACCACTACATATCATTTATTATATTTAAGTATAAATTGTATTAGAATTCATTGAAAATTTTTATTTACTTAATATGTTAGCAAAATCAATAGGTCCTAAAAGCTCATTAATAAAATATTTGGTATTTGAAAAATGAACTAACTACACATATAACAAATGTATTTTCAACCATGTAAAGGGCATTTTGTATACAAGGTAACCCAAAGACCTAATCCATTAGGCTAATATTCAATATCCAGTTTCTGATACTACCTTTGACTATTACTACAACTTCAGTATTCAATAGTCTATGATGCTACGCATTAAACAATCAAAGTCAGACTGCTGATATTCATACTTAACCTGTAAATGTTATGAGTTGTTTATGAATTTTCAAAATTAAGGGGTGCTCACATTGAGTGCACTTCTACGTTTATTTTGTCATTTCGTGACAATTGTTATATTATTTTAACCACGTATGTTTTGACAATAGATTTAAAGCTTCGACATTTGGTAAATATTGATGAGTGTTTTTTTCATGTTACTAATCATTAATATTATATTTCTTAGATAAAGATTATCAATGTTATTCCTCCCTAGGTAGTGGAGCTGGTGGCTCAGGATGCAGACGACGCTACGAGAGGCAATGGTCCTCCTTTTGTCTTTTCCATTGATCCTGTGGCAGACGATGTCCTCAAGGCCTCCTTTAAAGTAGAGAACATTCCAAGTATGTGTCAGACAATATGTTAGGCAAGAAATAAAAGTGATTAGATTTTTGTTAACAACAACTTAAATTCTGTAGTTTTTGTTTTATATTTCAGTGATTATGGACATCATTTAATAATCTATTTTCCTTTGAAGTTCTATAAAAATGTGTAGGCCAATAGGATTCAATATAATTTTACATTTATATTTGTTCTTGAACAACATTAAATTTCGGCGAAATGTCTGATAAAAAAATATTAATTCTGTAGCCCAAGGCAACTTTGGTTATCATATTTATGAGAGCAATTAATAAATAATTTCATTTTCATTTTACACTATTGTTTAACGTTTGTTATATGTTGATCAAATTATAAAAAAACGGTTGTTTTTCAGTCAATGAAAAATATCATAACTCAAACACAACTGTAAAATCAGTTAAAAGTTCCAATTCAGACATTATTTTTGTGTGCATGAAAAATTTAAATCTTTAATGTCTTGCAACATAGTACGAAAGAACTTAAATTTACATAGGGCATGTTTCAAAGAGCCATTGTTTTATAAACATAGGAATGTGTCTTTCAAATGTCTTTTTACTTTGTGTTTCTTATAAAACAGAAATTCCAATCAATATCACCATATAAAAATAAGCGCATGATTAGAAGAAACCTATACAACAACTTTAAGATATTCATTAAATTTTGAACAAAGAGACTATTGGGAAAATTAAAATAGCCTTTTCAATTATCCTTTTCTCACGTATAAAAAAAAAAATACACGAGCTAGATTCAAAATGAATATTTGAAATTGCTTCGTGGCACACCACTACTTGTTTGCTTTAAATTATCTCAAGAAAATTGATTAAACAAAGACAACAGATGATATCAAGCGGATCTTGACTCAAGAAAATGCATTTATAATCAACTCTGTTAAAAACTGAAATCTGTCTTTCAGGAGAGAGATTTTGTCACGATCCGAGTTGCATTTAAACAGGGTTTTTCTTCTTCTTATATTGTAACGAAAAATTAAATAATGAAATTAGTAATTTTTTGTATAGTTACTTTACACTGGGTTTTAACTGTACCTCACGTCTAATGATCATGCTTACTATATTTGTAAGCATGCAATCTTACTATATTAGTTTTTTATGCAATATTTCAACTATATGTTATCCTGCCAAAACATCATTATAAAAAAGTCTTAAAAGATATCGTAACAAACAACAATAACAACCATATCATATTCTAATATCCCAACAAAGCCAATGTCTAACGTATAACAATAATGCACTAACAGTTAACCAATTGTCAGGAGGAGCCGGCGGCAATGGGACTGGGGTTGTTTGGTCCACTCGCGCTCTGGACAGAGAAGAACGCAAGGAGTACCTCGTCCCCATCGTGATCCGTGACTCTGGTAGACCTCAGATGACCGGAACAAGCACCCTGACTGTCATTGTAGGAGATGTCAACGACAACCCTATGTTCGGGGGAAGAAAACACATCTTCGTCTACAACTACATGGTTTGTAACATATTTCAAGCTTACAGTACTGAGGGCTTTTAATCAGTTGGGAAATATGTAGAGGAAAAAATAAAATTATCTACCAATCTTTCAATTTGATCAACTTTAAAACTTGTTTACACAAAAATCTACTAAAAATTGCTCAAAGTTTATAAAAATAATGACTGAAATTTGTATGAAAAATAGTTCCACATTCGTTTTTAAAGCTATCGTTTATTTGGTCGTAGTGTATCGTTTATCGTCTATTTGTTATAGCTTTTCTCATGACATTTCGCAAGCGTCTTGACTGAACTTATGAACTTCTTGATGAACTTATTATAGAAGAAAAGTACATATATAACAATTAGTCAACGCATAAAATGTCTCGTCCTATTTAAAAGGAAACATTTTCAAGGCTTGGGTTTAAATCTATTGTATATTTTCAGAGAATGACAGCAGTTTACAAACTCAAACTCCTCCGTTCGGAATAAGTTGTCTGAAACGTGATTCTGATCCGCGAAACTTTGTTTGCCGTCATGAATTCCAATTGTCTCTAAGTAAATAAGATTCCAAGTATCCCAACCACGAAAACTGCCCAATTTGCTTCTATTCTCTTTAGGGAAAGTTTTAACACAATCTTCTTGAACATTTTGAATTCAATACTTAATCTTTTGAATAATTCCTACTGGGTGCGAGATACTTTAAATGTATAGATTGTAGGTTCTTTCATTTGGAATAAGAAAGATTTTTTATAAGACCTATCTTTAAAATGAACTATTTTGCCATAAATACAATAACTTATTACACATTTAATCATAGATTTAAATTAATTCATTATTATTGCTAATTTAATTATCATTATTAATTTAATTATTGCAAATATTGTAGTCGTTGTAACTACAAATTTAACCAAATTACGCTAATTTGTCCAGTTATTAATATAACATAAATTTAATTACAGCATTAGGACTGAGCCATTATATCTGCGAGGACACTACTGGAAATAATATATAATTAGATATATTACTTAGATTTTTGACTAAATATCTCTTTACGAAAATTCAAGAAACTTCAGACCCATCCAACATATATACTTTTTTAAACCTAAGAACAAACCCACCCTTTAAGACAGGTACTCATTACAAAGATGTTGATTATTTTCTCCAGGCTTTTTTATTTTATTTTTCAGGACAAAAAAATATATCCAGGCTTAGGACGAATCAATAGAATACAAGGCACTATGATATTAACCATAGAAATATTTCTCTAAACATTACCTAGTCAATAAGTAGTCTGTTAGACACTAAAATAGACACCCACAGTTTAAGTTGTCTTGTACTGGGACAGTCCGGAAAGTTCTCACCCAGATTAGTGTGTAGGGACAGATACCTGACACAGCGATAGGACGGGTCCACGTGGAGGATCTGGACGACTGGGACATTCCGGACAAGATGTTCTACTGGGACTCAAGTGAACACGTCAGGTTTCGCCTCAATGAAGACACTGGCATGATCACCATCCGACAAGGCACTCCTGACGGACGGTACATTCTAAGATTCAAGGTGTACGACCGGAGACATACCAGGACAGAGGTAAACCATCCTTAGTTATCATGCATAGTAAGTTGCAGCTCTGTATAAACATAAACATGAGCATTCTTAGTAAATTTATTGTCACGGAAGATCAGTTTGAATTTTTATGGTAGCTATAAAAAATCATGTGATATTCATGATAGTAGTAGTATTGTTCTTAAAGTAACTTATTTGCTTGGTTTTAGGTATTTTGCAACGTAACGGTGACAGTGAAGGAACTACCACATCAAGCCGTGCTCAAGTCTGCCTCTCTAATGATCACTGGCCTAACAGATGAACAGTTTATTGCGGAAGATCACAATGTGAGTCTAGTAATACAAATGTTGATAGTGATGTAACTGAAGCATAAATGAAAACATGTTATCTTTGCGTGTTTAGGCGGAACAACTTGAATTAGTCCCTAAAGCGATTACTTAAAAATGTTGAATGCAGACATCTCAACATGCAAACATGCAACATATCTCCTAAAGTGCTTGGAACAAATAATAATTATGGAGTTTTCTTTTTCAGAATAAAGTGCATTGGCTAAACATATTGAGTACTAAATTTGCAAGTGAAAGCAAAAACATAGTTTGCCATACTACTTTTGAGTATAATGTATTTTCGATCTTCCACATTCTTCTCATGACTCTAAAGTTGTTTTTATACTTCCCCTTTACTTAACCTAAATTCAATAAAGATTTAAAACTAGTGTTCCTCCTAGGTTTCTCAAGGTGGTAGCAAAGCCAGCCGGCTCCGTGAGAAGCTCGCTGACCACCTAAGGCTGGAGGTGCGGCAAGTCGATATCTTCAGTGTGCAGACCGTAAAAGGATCTCCTCCAATGACAGATGTGCGGTTTTCAGCACACGGTGCGAGATATTACAGTCCAGTCAGACTACAAGCCGTCCTTCTGCTCAATAGAGTTCAGGTGAGAGATCTTGTAAATAGCGCAGAAGAGTACTAAAAATTATGTTATAAGTATGTATCCATACGCTTTAAGTTTTCAAAAGTAAAATAATAACTGTATCAAGGATAAGCAACTGGTTTTTAAAAATATAACGGAGAATGATGTTACAAGATGTGGAGAATCATGAGATTTACCACTTTCTTGCAAAACGGTTAATTCCGATGTTTTATTTTGAATATAATTTTAGTTAAAATTGTCCACGTGCTTATTTCATATCCAACACTTAAAATGTACTTCTATAGAAATTTCAAACAAAAACATAGAATACACCAAATTTATTGAGTAATCTAAAAAAAAAACAAATAAGTAAAAATAACTCACAAAAAATAAAAGTAGAGAATTATACAATAGTTACCGATAAATAAAACAAACCTATAATCAATAAAACATAATAAAAACATAATATCACATTAACGTATTATAACTATACAAACATGCGTGTGTATTACTACAACTAATTAACCCATAAATTAGATAAAATGTATGCAATATTACAAATTAAAATTCTAACAAGCCAATAAATATACCCGATAAAAACTGCTACTGTATTACATTCAATAAAAATAATTAATTAGAATACAAAATCATGTATGATTTCCAACAAAAGAATCCTAACTTTGTTTGTAGTACATTATTTCTAATATAAACGCTTAAGTATAGTTTTTAGCAAATTTCCCATATAGGGAATAAGCTATTACCGTAGTACTCATGGTAAGGCCTGGACGCGGGACCGATTTTTTTCGTATATGTTTGTGTCCGTCAGCACGATAACTCGAGCAAAAATGATCCGATTTTGATGAAATTTGGTACAAACGTGTAAACCTACGTGTATTCGAACAAGTTTGCGATCCAGCATGATCGGATCATGCGAACGGGGGTTTACGGGGGGTTTTATGGGGTAAAAATAGGGTTTTCCGATTTTTTACCCAAAATCATAAAATTTAGCAATTTCTTTCCAAACCATTTTGTAGATCTTATAAAAACAAATAATTAAGTATATTGAAGCGTTATTATGCGCCTAATGGTTACGGAGAAAATTGCAACAAATTTTTAATTTAAAATTCCCATGTTATTCTTATGGAGAATAAGTAAACTGTTGTAGTTTGCTTGTTTATGAACATATTTTGATCACACTTGGAAGATGTTTTTATTTCTTACTAACTATTAACATTTAAAAAAAAAAAAACAGTTTTACCCTCCCTGATGCAGCAAACCTAAGTACTTGTTAAACTAGTTCTATTTAAATCGGGAATAAATGTTATATTTATAAGTAGACGTTTCAGTGTAAAGCCAATCAGTCAAATAGAAATTCGCTTAGTCTACAGGTTTGCTGCGGCGGGGGTATTATGGTGTAGTGATGTAGTGTGTTTGATGATGTAGATCATGTAGGTGATGATCTAGTACCTTGTTGCAGATAGAGGAGACTGTCGGTATCAATATAACAATGGTGGGGGTTGACCGGTGTTTGTCAGAGACTCAATGTCCTGACTCCTGCACAAACACACTTAGTGTGAGTCACGAGCCTTCTCTAGTCAACGCCAACCGTACAGCATTGGTAGGAGTTCAGGTAGGTCAGAGGTGAAGTTGGGTTTCATACCACTAATAGTTTATGTAAATTGGTATTCATGGAAGGATTGTACGCAACAGTTGAAAGACAATCATGGGGTTATTCGTATCGCACTCAACTTTAATGCGCTCGGGGGCGCGAGCTGGTCTAGTGGCTGAGCGTGAGGCTTCGAAGCCCAATGTCCCGCGTTAAAATACCGTCAATCACAAATAGATTGTACTTATATGATAATGTCACAAGTATCTAGGACTAGCCTGAAGTAATGTTTGATACAGTTTTTGGCTAGAACATAGAACCTAGCGTCATAGGGTTTGAAGGTGGGAAATAAACAAAATAACATGCACTGTGTGCATTATATGAGTAATTAAATACTATCCACATACCATAACAAATCTGTACAAATTTCCTTCCTGCATCCACCATAGGATATAATTAATATAAAAATATATTATACCGACTATGTTTATGAAACATTTTTAATACTTTATTGTTTTCTTATATTCAATTTGATCACCTTTTAAACTACAATCTGGCAATATTAGCTGTATTTTTATCACCCTGGAACAATTTCTCTACTTTTTCTCACAGATATTGAAGAAATACAATTTTTTTTACTTATGATTTAGGTAACAACAGTTCCGAGATGTACTTGTGGAGCAAGGGACTACAATGTGCCTGTCAGCTGCAAGAACAAACCTTGTCTGAATGGAGGGAAATGCTCCCAGCTGAAAACAACTGTTAGGTATTACAACTCAATACATGATCATTATGATTAGATATCTAATGGTAACCATAATGAAAATACTAGTAAGCCTAGCGTACAATCCATCGTAAACAAAACTATGTGAAGAAAAACTTTCTTTGAACATTTATATGAAATATTTATTATTACAAACGTGTTTACTATGGTTATATCCAAGAAACAAGCTTCAATATGATTGCTTTTAATTAAAATAATACCTAGTTAAATATTCAGCTTATTTTTGTTGTTAGGGGTTTAATTTGAAAAACAAACCGTCAAAGTTCCAAGATGGATAAGGATTTGTCTCTTTAATCAACAAGTTTGGTGTAAACTTGGCGAGTTTAGCTTCCGCGAGTTCTCAACAAACTTTTGTTGGTTTCTCTTGCTTTTACTCATTATATTTATAGTATATTTATGTGTAAAATGTATTTTTTGATAGGGCCTACGTATATTTGTATATTTTGACGCATTTTAGTGTTAGTGCTTGCAAAATAAGTATCATCGCTGATCTCTGGTTATAAGTTTTGCCATTATTAATAATTTTTTACACCCAGCTGTTCCTGTCCGTTGAGCTACACGGGCCCGCGCTGTCAGCAGACGACGCGCAGTTTTCGCGGGGACGGCTGGGCGTGGTATCCCTCTCTGCAGTCTTGCCACGAGTCACATCTCTCTGTAGAGTTTATCACTGACCATGAAAACGGTCTCATCCTGTACGATGGTCCTGTCACCCCTCCTAGACCTGGACAAGACGTAGTCTCTGGTGAAGTATACTGCATAATTTGTAGAAATGTATTTTAGCTCATATTTACAGTGTAGAATAAATGTTTAAAACACATTGCAATTTGTCTTGATTGATGTAAATGTTAATGTGATGTTTATTTAATTCTCGTATAATATTTGAAATAAAAGTTATAAGGTCTGACAAGTACGTTAAAATGCAATCTTTATATAATACATCCATAAAAAAATACCAACAAAACAACACAGAAATACGTGAGGCAATGTTTACATCATATGTACCTATTTTCTTTTATTTATTTATTAGTATTCGTATTTGTTTATCCATTATCGTCTAGTTCTATGATACTCCTTTACACAACCACCCGAAACTGGAAAATGTGTATATTTATTATGTTTTTGTATCGCTTTCCCTTATGTCGTAAGCGTGCCAACTACGAAATCCAATGGTGTGTTAGTAGTCAAATGGTTTTTTTTTGTGTTATGAATGAGATAAGTGCGGACATTTTCCATCACGATCAATATTTTTGTCTAATTATTATGGCATATTGCCACAATAATCGCATGAATAAGCTCACCATCACATATTATGACATTTTTAGTGTATTTCTTTTAACCCTTGTCAAGACCAATTTTATCTACCGTTACAAAGTGAAACGTTTTATTAACTAATGAACAAAATGAATGGCTACACAATTTACAACCACTTGATGATCCAATTTTAAAAGAGAAGGACAACTTTTCAAACTACCTTACATGAAACGAGTGTAATGAAACGATCCTGTAATTAAAGCATGTGCTAATTGGTTTATGGGTAGACATTTCACAAATCTTTGGGCCGTCTACCCAGAAAACCAATTCGTGTTATAGTGCTTTAACGTTTTGAAGCTATAAAATCATATTTTTAAATATCAAAATTTGTACAAATAAAATAATCTTAACATAACAAATGCAACCACAAGTAAATTGATGTACTACCTATAATTGACGTTTGAACATTTTATTTTTGTTTACGTAATAAGTAAACGTGCTAACCTACCCAACTTCAATATTCCTCGCTTCAATAGTCATTATTGGTTTAACCTTAAATCAACAGGACTTAACGATTGATTAAACTTCGTCCAAATAATTCTTGTTTGGAGAGATAGCAGTTTGCTGAGACTGGCTTTTCGGTTTATTCTTCATTCAATTTGTTGACATAGTAAATTTACTCTTTGCTAAAAACCTTTATTATGCTATTTTCATAACCACTGATAAAAAAAGTAAAATAAGAAATTTTAAAACAAGGTTTAATATTCACTATTATGTGTAACAAGTTGACCTTTTATGGTTTTAATTATTTGTAAATTATGACTTATATTTTAGCTACGTAGTGTTTTATATCAGTTTTGTATTAGGTATGTTTAGATATTTAATATTCTATGCTTTTAAAATAAATATATGATTCTTCATGTTTATCTTACATCTGTTTACAAATAAGTTGTTGTTATGTTTTTGAAAATAGAAACTTTTACTGTTGCTAAAAAATGTCTCCTTTATTTAAAATTAGTTAATAAAAACTAAACATGGCGCAGTCTTGCCTTTGAGTGTATTTATATTTTGTTTGTGACTGCTCAAAAATGGAATTCAATAAACCAGATAAGTTATCATTAATAGGCAATATGCCAGAAAATTTCAAGCAGTTCAAGGAAGACGTTGAAAACTACTTTATAGCCACAGAGACAATGAAGAAACCCAATCCTGTAAAAGTGGCACGATTGAAGAATCTAATGGGTAAAGAAGCTTTACAGCTGTACAATTCTTTAGTTACAGACGTCACTGATGAATGTATAGAATCTATCATGGATGTTCTGGGAAATTATTGTTTGCCAAAGAAGAATGAAATTATGGATGTTTTTAAATTTATCACATGCAGACAATCTGAAGGAGAATCATTTGACAAGTTTCTAGCTAACTTAAGGCATCGTGCAAAGATTTGTGATTTCAAAGATCAAGAGTCTAAACTAATGAAAGCACAGATAGCACTTGGAATTTTTTCCAGAGAAACCCAGGAACGTTTGTTAAGGGATGATGCATCAATAGACAAAATTATTGAATATTGCAAAAGTATTGAGCTTGCCGAAAATAACCACACCTACTTTCAGGACCAGACCTGTCCTGCATTAGGCAAATTTTGTAATTGGTGCAAGAAGATGACGTTTTGGGACAAGTTGTGAAGTATTATGTAAATGGATGGCCTACATCATTGCCTTGTGGTGGAGATCTGGCACATTATGTTAATATCAGATCTGACATTGAGTTGAATGATGGCTTACTGTATTTCAAAAACCGTATAATAATTCCGAAGAAACTGAGACCCATAATTATCAACCGACTGCATGAGACCCATCTTGGGGAAAGGAAAATGAATTCAATTGTCTCAAATTTCTATTACTGGCCCGGAGTAAGAGCAGTTTTGAAGAACATTGTTGACAGATGTAATATTTGTCAGAAATATAGAAGATCAAACATCAAAGATCCACTCATTTGCCACGAGATACCTAATGTTCCTTTCTTGAAAGTTTCCGCAGACATTGCTGAATGTGCTGGGAAGATATACTTGATACTTGTTGACTTCTACTCTAGATGGTTAGAGGTGGTCAAAATGAATAGTAAAAACAGTTTATCCGTGAAGAATGCACTAGTCCAAATATTTGGAAGATTTGGGATTCCACAGATTATGATAGCTGACAACATGCCTTTTGATTCTTACGAACTAAGAGAGTTCGCAAAAGAGTGGAATTTTAAAATACAAACTACAAGTCCTAACTATCCTCAAGCCAATGGCTTAGCAGAAAAAGCTGTAGGTATTGCTAAAAAACTTATAAAAACGTCCTCAGAATCAGGATCAGATCTAAATTTGAGCCTACTTAACTACAGAAACAGTGTTGTTGCAGGACTTGATTATTCTCCAGCTCAGTTACTAATGGGGAGGGTATTAAGATCAAAATTACCTCTTCCAAATCACAGATTAGAGCCAAAGATAATTCATCAAGATGTAGCAGATCAAATGCAGACAAAAAGAATCAATCAAAAATCTTATTATGATAAGACAACAAAACAAGAAACAGTGTATAATGATCCCAGTGATAAAGGATCCCATTTATGTACAAGATGTTCGGACCAAGAACTGGGAGCCAGCTATCATAGTAAAAGTTGGTGAAACTCCAAGATCATACGTAGTGCAATATAAAAATGGAAAACAATTCAGAAGAAACTAATTTTTCATAAGAAAAAGAAAAATTGAATTTGTCAAAGGAGAAGATGTTTAGATATTTAATATTCTATGCTTTTAAAATAAATATATGATTCTTCATGTTTATCTTACATCTGTTTACAAATAAGTTGTTGTTATGTTTTTGAAAATAGAAACTTTTCCTGTTCTTAAAAGATTCTCCTTTATTTAAAATTAGTTAATAAAAACTAAACAAGGTAGAAGTGGCTAGTCCCTTTTATAATGCAACCGGGACCAAGAAAAATGAGAAAAAGCAACTTGTTGTCGATCTAGCATCATACAAATCAGCAATCGTTGTTTCCTGTTATGGAGAAATTTTAACGGTAATTAAATAAACAACTGTTTTCCGTGTAAAAAGAAAGAATTTATACAGCAGGTATTTTAAGGCCTATGTTTAAACAAGTTGGTGGTTATAACAGATACCGAAACATCGACTACATGCTAAACAATATTTTTAAAGGTTCACAAAATACCCCATCTATTGAGTATATATTAACGAGTTTTTCATAGTTTTTGGCGAGTGTGGGGAGAGCAATATACTTACGTTTGTTCTTGGCTAGAGATTAAACAAAGCGGCCAGAGCTACCCTTGTCGTAGAATTACCACGTAGTCATCAGTCAAGAGCCATTGATTAGAAATCCGTCACTCTAACCAATACACTAACCACACTGATTTACAATCTTAATCAATCATGATAAGAAAACCCTAATGCTAGATTGTGCTTCAATGATTTGTCGGATTTATATTCTGATTTGATTAAAAACTGTCCTCTTATCAAGTTATGTTGTTGTTATGTTGTAATAATATTAAACATTATTCTTGCAGACTTTATATCACTAGAAATAGCAAGAGGACAGCCAAGACTCTTAGTAGATTTTGGGTCAGGCACTCTTGAGCTAAAAGTTAAAACACGAGCGAGTTTAGCAGATGGACGATGGCATCGTCTGGACGTTTTTTGGGATAAAGAGGTAATAATTATAGAAAGCATGAATATACCATTTATTTACTTTTCATTAACAATCTAATAGATTATAACTAAGTATATGGACTCCTAATTGCTTAAATTTCTTAAGCCATGTATCATACGAGTAACTAAATAGCTGTACCTTAAATTAATGCATTTATAGGTGTCTGGAAGGAATGATTTTGTTTAGGCGTTATTGTTAAAGGCATTAATAAACAAATGTATGTTTTCAATAATATCGCATCACAGTTACTTCAAAACTTATTGAACAAACTTGTAAATTTAAAATTCAAGGCATTTCCAGTTCGCAATGAAAATAAAACTCGCATTAAAAAAGTAAATTCTCTTACAACCCACTGTAAGAGTATGAAGTGATTTTGAAGAGGTGGAATGTTAGAAGGAAGTTTGTTTTTGGAACTTTTCGCAGTTTCCAGAAAGAAACGACATCTGGATATGGTAACGTCCTTCCCTTATTTCTTTTGTTCAAGTGTTGGTGAAAGATAATATTTGATTACGTAATTTTAATGATTATAATTTGTGTAGCTGAAGCGATATGTTTACCAAATTGGCTCTTTTTTGTCATTGCAGTGTATAACAAGTCAACTTAGTTTTTCGATCTAAACAGATAATTATTCATTTACTGTTTTAAAAAGTGTCAAAATAATTCCAAATTTATACTTTTCAACGTATCTATGATAAATAAAGTTTCTGATACAGTCTACATAAACTCTGCTACAGTCTTTTTGGAATTGGAATAATCCATTTGCATTTATGTCTTCTCCAGTTCGTACGCATTATGGTGGATCTATGCAAGACAGCTGATATAACTGAAACTGAAAACGACACCAGAATAGACATCGACGACACTAGCTGTCAGTCCAACGGAACTATGCCGCCATTTCACGAACACCTCAACGTTAATTATCCGTTGCAGGTTAGTTAGACTACACAATTCCTTTAAAAAATTCAAAATAAAGTAGTAAAAGTAACACTGTAGGTATATTGATTGATATACAGTAATTCCTTTTCTCATATTATGTATATTTTTGCAAAATGCTCAAGAGGATTTTAAATAGTTAGCTCCATTATCTCAAAAGCTTACTTGATATACCTTAACCTTTACATTTTTTACCTTAACGTCAAGTTTTTAAAGTTATAATTCTTAGTACTTACAGGGCGAATCTTTACAATTGGTATATTCGTATTTAGTATTTACTATGTAGTTTTTCCGTATTGTGATATACTATTCAGTTTGTCTCTTTAGGTTGGTGGGCGCCATACCCTGGGTGTAGACCCCGTCACCTACCATTGGCACCACGCTCCCTTAGCCACGGGCTTCCATGGCTGTATCAAAAACTTGGTATTTAATACTCAGGTATGATCTACCGTCATCCATTCGGCACTTGAACAAAGTTTTTACATAACTATAATGATTTTGCTAAAACTGACTATCGTCACTGCAAAACATCAGGAAACATGTCTCTACTCACAATCATTTTAAATTATTTTAGAATTTCTGGTATTTAAGAGAGTATTTTACGTTAAGTACAATTTATGTATAGATTTATGACATAGTTTTGCAGTGTTGGAATTTTTAAACTTAGTTAATAAAAAACCTTTATAATTATAATGGTAGTTTACCTTTAACTTAATGCTAGTTTTTAAACACACAACACGTGTCAATAGTGTTTTGTTTCAGTGTCGCATAACATTCTAAGGACTAATCGTAGGGTTCTCCTTGTAGAAGGTATTCATGTTATCTTCGGCTTCTAGATGTACGACCTAGCTCAGCCAGGGTATTCCAAGAACAGTGTTGGAGGCTGTCCTCAAGTGGAAGACTCGTGTGTCAGGCAGGATCCTACGCTGCGGTGTTGGGACAGAGGTCAATGTACAGGCAGTCTTTCAGGTATTGCATAGAAGAGTTTATAATCACCTATATAGACGTGATGTAAGGAAACTACATATGGCAAGGTGATTGTCCCAAAACCTACGCAATTCTAAAACACCACAAAAAATTAATAATAGCTACGTAAAATCTGGAATTAAGAATACCAAATATGATGGTGTGACAACAGGACTAAATTTGACCTAGTCCGGCCTGGGTCCGCAACGGCAGCCATGCGGACAATTTCAGTGGTGCGACAAAATAGGACTGAGGGAAATCTCCCTCGCCGCGTCGGTTTCTTCATGTTCTACAACGCCAGCTCCCTTCGCCCTACCTACACAGACTCAGGCAAGAGAACTGATCACCTAATGGAATCGTTCACTAGGCTGCTAAGAACGCTTCATAACTGATTTGGTGTGGTAGTTCACCAAATTGCTGCGTTTTTATTTGAAGAGATCAAACTTAACTGTTTGGCATAATTATCAGATCAAGACAGAAATAACCTAACCTAACCTCAGACAAACATATTTGATACAATATTATTATTGTATAAAAATGCAATTATACCTGATTAAATTTTAATAAAGACAACTACTGACAGATTTACACGGAGTAAATATTTTCTTGAACGATTTCTTGAGCCGATCCGTTCACTAGACCACTAGCTCACTATGTGTCCAGGAGATGGGTGAAAGGAGTTGGGCATAGAGAACGGGGAAATTCAACTCAGTCCTACCCTCGCACCCTCGCAAAATGCCGAATGACTGTCACAGGGTGCCCAGGTTCGATTCAGTACTGTTGTCGCTTTACCCTAAACTTTAGTTTTTCGTAGGACTAAAAGTTAAGTCATTCATTTCAGACATATTTTTCATGATCCTATATCTACTTATAATTAGAATACTTTTGGCCATCAGTATATTGTCTATGATAATTTATAGCAGAAGAATTTGTGTCAAATATTTATCGAGAAGAGAAAACATGCCACCCAAAAACGAGTAAATAACAGTAATTATAACGATATAATCTTTTTTTGCAGTGAACAGAAGATATTTTATCTATGGGACTATCTAAACATGTATTACACTATAGTGTGATTGTTTTAGGAGGAGACGCCAAGTGTGAATGTCTCCCAGGCTACAGCGGTAGAGTTTGTACCCACGCCACAACCCCCACCACCTTCCTCCCCCAGAGTTACGTCAAGTTTGCCCTCTCCTTCGACCCCGACCACTTCCACACCGAGATACAGCTGAGGTTTCGTTCCAGAGAGAGTTCTGGGGAACTCTTTCGAGTCAGTGATCAACACGCCCGAGTCTACGCTATTTTGGAGGTTAGTAAGGCTACAAAAAAAAATTCTATATTTTATGACCCTTATTATGTTGTAAATTTCCTCTCTTTAAATTTGTTCTTGTTAATTATTGATACGCAATAACAATTGTTGTAAGAATCTACATATTTACTAATAACTTTATGTTTTTAACCCATGTTTGACTAAAAATAAAGTTAAGGTGGATTTTTAATTTTTAAAGGGTGTTTGTGTTCATAGTTGGCAAACAATAGACTGCAGTTTCGATATAACCTCAACAAGTTGACAGTCGAAGAAAGATGTCTACAGCTGTATTGGGTCGAGGTTACTGACGGTCAGTGGCACGTCGTCACTGTGAGTATTATTTGTCTAAAAACCTGGTTCATTGTGAATTAATAATTGTATAACCCGATTAAGAATTTGATTTTCTTTAGATATATTTGTTTTAATTATTTATGTAAACATAGTTTGAGTTGTTTGCTGTTTCTAGGCCTATACATTATTAAAAAACATGTAACTTTCATATTACAGTCATATGTATTATTATTTTTTAACTATATAAAACAGACTAACTTATTTGTTATGAGCTGTAATAGGGAAACTACTTTTTATTAATACTTATAGATATATTCTTAATTAGGATGTATAGTTGTTTTTATTTATATAAACATTGTTTGATTTGTTTGCCATTTCTGTACTTCATTCTAAGACTTGTTATTTTCATATTACAGTCATACGTATTACTATCTTTTTAGCTTTATAAAACAGACTACATATTTATTAAGGGCTGTAACGGAGAAATAACTTATTATTGCCGCTTATAATTATATTCTTATTCACGATGTCTATGAGTAAGATTTCCAAAATGTTCATTGCATTTGTAGTATTTATTTGAAGCTATTATTCAATGGTTGGAAATCTCTAAAGTTTTTTTTTTACTTTTTGTTTAGTACGAACTAGTTAAAAAATTAAAAAAGGGAGATTATTATTATTATTACTGCCAAAACTTACTACGTGTACAAATAAAGATTACTATTTTGCATTGTCAAGTTGGTTAATATGAAATATTTTCATGGAAATACGCAAGTACCCTTCCAATAAATGGCATTATTAAATTTAAATACTCATAACCTTGAAATGTACTCAAAAATGTTGTATTATACAGAAAAAATATAATATAAATATAATTTTATTCCTTTTGTGAAAAATTTATAACAACATTTTTACCGTACACTCTATGTACTCTATGATTAATACATGTGTACCAGGCGGTGAGGTGGGGGAGTATGGCGGAGTTGAGACTAGATGGAGGGGAGGGCAGACGACACAACGAGACGTTTGTTTTGGCGGGACCGCAGTGGCTCCTAGTTGACAAACAGGAGGGAGTCTACGCCGGAGGGAAAGCGGAGCACACAGGAGTCAGAACATTCGAAGTGCTAGCTGACTTTCACACAGGTAAGTTTAGTTGGTCATATTGTTGTATTCATTCTAGTTTCAAGAACTTGAATTACATTAAATTTAGCTTAGTTGTTGTTACCTGGTGCCTGAGTTCTTCTAAGTAAACTTCTTAACTAAGGTAGATCTCATAAAAGATGGTCATGTTCTCATTGACAATGAATATTTGGGCATCCACCTCGACAGAAAACTTACCTGGCGAAGCCATATTTGGAACAAACGGCAACATCTAAATTCAAAGTTTCGACAAATGGCCTGGCTCATAAATCAAAATTCAAAACTGTCAATAGAAAATAAATTATTGCTTTACAAGGTTGTCCTCAAACCAATGTGGACATATGGCATTTCTTTGTGGGGAACAGCTTTAAAATCAAACTTGAATATATTACAAAGATTTCAGTCAATATTACTAAGAACCATCCTGAAAGCCCCTTGGTATGTATCCAACGTCACCATTCACAATGATTGCAAAATCCCATTTGTTACTGAAGAAGTTACGAGCTGCAGTAAAAAAATCATTTCTAACCTTGAGTATCACCCGAACCATTTGGCCCTCAACCTCCTAGACAACAGTCAACATGTCTACAGACTAAAAAGAGAAAATGTTTTAGACCTTCCGACTCAATTTGTACAGCAGCTCTGAATTTTGTATTTATTTATTTATTATTTTTTTTGCTAAATCTGTTTAGCTGCTAACTCATGCATTCCAATTTTTATGTTATTGTTAAAAATGCCATCATATTTACTTATTGTTTAATGCAAAACAGATTGTAAATAAAACTATGTAAAAAAATCTCATAGAATTTTTAAAATCTTTACTAATATAGAACGGAACTGTTCGTGTTCTAGTCCACTGTCAAATGCACACCCGTGTGCTCCTTAATGAGGCAGGTGTGGGAGTAGTCTTAATATCCTCGTTTGACCTTTGAGAAATACAATTTCGATGGTGGCATCCTTGAAAATGGTGCGTTCGAACGCTGTGGGTAAAAACAAAATGGCCACAATTTAAAATGTTTAAAGTCAAATTCCATGAAAACCAGCTATTAAAACAATATTTTGCAACACATTATTTAAAGTTTTTTTTATTACAAATCGAATGATACTTTATTTGCGAAAATCGGATAATAAATAAAAAAGTTATGTAACTTTTATTATTAATAGTAATTATCAAAATGGCAGTCATTTTGAAATCACAAAGTTAAATTCCATAGAAACTACTGTAGTTACAAAAACATAATAAAAGTTACATAAATTTTTTATTTATTATCCGATTTTCGCGAATAAAGTGTCGTTCAATTTGTAATAAAAAGGACTTTACATATTTTGTTTCGAAGTTTTGTTTTAATTGCTGGTTTTCATGGAATTTGACTATAAAGAATTTTAATGGCCGCCATTTTGAAATTCGATGATCAGGCTCAAAGATTTTTTCGGAGAATGTTTATACTTGTAGACTTAAAGTTTATACCAAGTTTCATAAAAATATCTCTAAGGGCTTTTGAGTTATGAATTATTTTCAAAAAATACAAAATGGCGGAATTCGGCTTAACTAAGCCGAAATTGAAACAATGTTAATCTACATTTTCGACTTATTTTTGCACATAGAATCTGAATCTGCATAGCCCATCACGCTTTACTGAAACACCCTTTATTACTTTTTGAGATATTTAACTGTCCTGGGACATTACATCCACCCTAATTAATTTTAGTTATGAAAAATATAAAATTATGTTCTATGAAAGAATGGTTGATTCTACATAAAAACTGTAACATTCTTTTTCGTGCAGATTTAAAATAGCTACATTTTGGTAGCAACAACTTTTTCATAACTCTACCGGTTACTGATATAAGTAAGGCAACAAGTTTGCGATGGCGGCCATTTTGTTTTTTACCCACAGCGTTCGAACGCACCATTTTCAAGAGTGCCACCATCGAAATCGTATTTCTCCAAGGTCAAACGAAGAGATTAAAACTACTCCCACACCTGCCTCATTAAGGAGCACACGGGAGCCTGTATATGTACATTTGACAGGGGACTATTCATGCATTTAGCTTAAGTGCCCAAAGGTATTGGGTTGTTTGCAGGTAGGTTGCATTTTATTGTTCATGAGATAGGAAATTTCCTATCATAATTTGTCTCAGTTATTACAAAATTAATTAGTAAAATGTTCTAAAATTAGTATTCATTTAATACCACATGATTTTTATTTGTTAAAGCTGTTTGTAGAATCATCAGAAGAATTGATTCATACATCCTATGTGAAATTAAATTTGACTTGACAAAGTTCATTGTAATTCTATCGACATTTTTAAAAATAAACACAAAAGCAAATGCATTATCAACGTTTTTTATGTAATTATATGAGACAATTATTAACTCTACAGATAATTAACGTGAACAAATCTTTTTAAAACCATATATTACGAACCCCTTAAGTTTTAAAATATTTACCATGCACCTTCAAAATATACTGCCAATGTGTTTCTTAAATCTCAATAAAATTATTCATACCACCCTCTCTCTTTTTTTGTCTGTCTACATTATATTTTCTTTTAAATAATCACTTTTGAATTACGTATCATAACCCATGTGGTCAGTGAATGTATACTTCCAGGCTGCATCGACGACATAAGACTGAACGGGTTCTACCTGCCCCTGCCACCCTCAGTGAACGGGACCCAGTGGGGCCAAGCCACCATGGCTCGCCACCTCGGCCGTGACTGTCCTTCCAGCAACTCGTGTGCCAGCGCCACCTGCCAAGAGCCGTTCTCCTGTGTCGACCTCTGGAACGACTACGAATGCTCGTTAGTATTTGATGTACACTTACGAGTTTTCTTACACTATTATCTTAAATAAGTTACGATTGTAAATATTTTCCATGTGTGCTTTGTGTTATTGTAAACCAGAAGGTTTAGATTGTTACTATACACTAATTGTCATATGATGGGGACGCAGTAGGTTTTATCGACGATTTTCCATAAGAAAGTGTAATGACAAAAACGCATGCATTTATACTGAAACTCAATAATCCGTTGTGTGTTTTATATCACATTATTGTTGACAGTTGCGGAGAAGGTCGCAGCATCTCGACTGACGGCAAGTCATGTGTGGACCGCAACGAGTGTCTGGAGTCCCCTTGTCAGAACGGCGGAGTGTGTGTCAACCAAGAGCCGAGGTCTCGGTACCGCTGCGTGTGTCTGGACGGGTTCTGGGGAGACCACTGTGAGATGGTACAGGAGCCGCAGACTATGAAGTTGGGGCTGGGAGCTCTCGTCACTATCCTGGGCTGTCTGCTTATAATACTGGGTAAGTCAATAGGAGCAATCCTGAGTTCGTTAGTAATGTAGGTGTTATGTACAATTTTCTTACACCCATCAATTAATTTAGGATGAAATATATTAAGTTCATTATGTATGATATTAAAAAGACTCGGAGCCTGATAGGTGGAAGTGCCCACATTTGTATCTTAAAGGTTCTGGTTCATTCTATACCCTAAAGATTGTTCATATATTTTTTCTTATACACGTACTGTTAGATGCGTTTTGGATTACTTTTTTTAAGAATGGTTGAAGTAAGAAAGAAGGTAACAATAATAATGTTTGTAATTTTTTACCGATTAAATGTGTTTTAATCAACAAACTAAGTAAAATATTTGGCATTTACTGAAAGAAGAGAACCCCAACTAATTTGTGAAACATTACTTTGGAATACCTCAATAAAGGTGTTTTGGAAATAATATCAACTTTAAATCACTTGGTTAGTATAATTATACTTTTTTAACGACTATGAAATAATATTCAACTCCTAAAAAATTCTCAGTTTAGCGAGTTATTTATTTTAATGTTTTTTATATGGTTAATCTATTGAGTTAATGTGAAGTATAGGTCGGTTTACTGGTAACATATTTTATGGAGTCCTATATCATTAAAATGACAAAGCAATTTTATCTCCACAATACCATAATTTAATTAACATGAACATCCTGGTACAGAGACGATAGAAATGTACTCAAACTACAAATAAAAGGTTTGAAAGGTTTCTTCGTATAATTACTGTTCCAGTGATCGTTCTGGCCCTGGTGATGTACAACAGACGACGAGACGAGCCTGTCAAGAAGCCGCGACCTGAGGATGACATCAGAGAGAACATCATCAGCTACAATGATGAGGGAGGGGGAGAGGATGATATGACGGCGTTCAACCGAAGCACAATGAAGATGGACATTCACTGCAACGAGAAACAGACTATAACGAGTGAGTGTTGTGTTAAAAAAATATGTAGAAGTAACCATAATTAACAATCGTTGACATTGGAACTTAAGTGGGTGCCAAGACACACACACTACGGTGGCGGGCAACTAACTATGGTACTATAGCAGGGAAAACTATGGTGCCGTACGGTACCTTTTGATGTATCTTTGCTCGTGTCTCTCAGTATAAAAATATGGATTACCTATTCGCCATTACGTTAGGGGTAATATTATTATCATAATTACTGCATTCATCACAGTAAAATAAGCTTTTGTAATATTTTGTAATATTACTTTCAAGAAAATAAATAAATTTGTATTCCTCTTATTCTAATAACCATAATAGTTTTAAGTATTCTAAAGGCTTAACATCAATAAACCTTGAATAATTACAAGACAGTCCCATCCTACACAATATTTTGCATTGGTTATCATCTACTTTACTTTAATATTTGTATGCCCTCTTTCATCTGCTGTAATGTTTAATTCTTCTAATGATATTTCGGCATGTGCGTTTTTTGGTAAAAAGTTTGTATTATCCTCTTACCTTATATTATTTATTTCATCTTCACATCTTTTGTTCGAAGAATCTTAAAATATATGAATAGTTAACGGAAATTTAATTTACTCGTAATTTTTTGTTAATATGTATTGCAATTAAGTTTTTTTTAAACAGAATATTCATGTTTCAGTGGTTGAACTTCCCCCACTAGAGGCAGTAAAACAGTTCGAAGCAGAACACACTCTTTTGGCTTTTGATGACTTCAGAACGTTCACTGAGGAAGGCTCTGGGAGTCTGGCTAGTTCTCTCTCTTCTCTTGCAACTGGTAGGTTTCTTAGCTGTAATTTTTACAATCAGGTAATGCAGGTAACATAAATAAAAATATTTACTGTTAAGTGTTACAATGGATAACATATTATGTTGAATTGTTTGTATGTGCTCTAAAAGGTACTTCTCATGTATAAGAGTATGTTGAAAAAAACTAAGAGTATTTATTAGGAGCTGTTAATTTCCGCTTATGGCCAAATGAATTATGTAAAAAGTCATATTTAAGCGTTCAGTCACTAAACTATAAGACTCTTACTGGTTTATGTATAGATATATTTGTTATTATTAAATATTGTGATTAGCTATACAACACAATATTGATAAGCTGTTTTTGTTTCAGAAACGGAGTTTAAACAACGAGAGTGCAATCTGTCTGAACAACAAGCTCTAAAGTTTCATAGAATAGCTGAAATATATTTGAAAAGAGATAAAGCTTCCTAGCTAGACTTTACTGTGCACGTGTGAAGTTTAAATAAAACAACGAGTTGTAAAATTTAGAAATATTATAATTTTAAATTTATGGAAAAAGAGTCGTAAGCGAAAATGGTGCACATTGACAACGTGTATTTGTTTAACCTAACAAATTGGCTCCTGCAAATGTAAATATGTTTACTTATAATTACCGACTCTATTGGATCGAAATTTGAATATAATGTACCTGTAAACGACGTAGTTTCGTTGCAGTAAGGTTGTAGATTGCCAGTTACGTGATATTATTTGCACTATAATACTCATTTTATTTTAATACAGATTGTGCTTGGTAACAAATAAATTCACTTGATTGAAACAAGTTTACTAATATAGTTTTTTTTTGTGAAAATAAGCTATTCATTTTAACACTTTGTAAATTACAGCTTACACACGAAGTAATAACTCTTTAGAAATACACAGTGTTTTGAATTGTCTTCTTTTTACATACGGATGAAGTGACATACTCCAAAACGTATCATATAAGAATAAATATTTATACCAGCACTGTTTTCTACGGTTTGGTACTTTCCAATTTCTTGTCTAACGTTCTCAACTTATGTTTATTGTAAATATGTATATATGGACAAGACTTTTTTACAATGGAACACGTTCGATGTGCCTTTCCATAATCGTTTTAGTTTTGTGGATGTTTCTAATTTTATTTTAAACATTAAAAGAAATTACTTCTATGTATTGAATTGTAAATTATTCTCATGCAAAGCATGAAAAATGTAAATGATAATGTGTAAGGTTTTTTACAATAAAGTTCTAAAAATAAAAACTCCTAGTAAAATTGGAGCTTAGTATAAAAATCAACTCTAAAAGGTTTATCCAGATATACCGTGTGAATCCATGCAAACGTAACATACGTAATAGACATCCAACCAACTCGATGTTAATACATTGCTCAAAGCATAGAGTCATTCCACTTAACTTACATTTCAAATGCAAACATGTTTTGTTTCTATTTAAGAGTGACCGAGTCACTAATGTTTCGAAATAACTGTGATACTTGTAATATATCGTAGGATTTTGTTTATGATTAGATAGTTTATATTGATTCGTAATGGTTTTGTTATTATTGAATAAAATATTTTTCCAACAACTTGTTTTAAGACTTTTCTCCAAATATCTTTCTTCTAACGTGTCTCACATTCTATAAAAGTGTTGCGATGTTACTTGTTTTATTTCATAATAATTATTTGGAAACCCGTTCTAATGGACCTATTTATTAATTCATAATTGATTCAAATGGACTCAAGATGGGAACATTAATCAATAGTACCAAGATTAAATGCAATATTTTTTTTGAAAATAAGGTTTAATTCCTCTGAATACATAATAATTAACAACAAAGCATATAACAGTTGTATACAAATTGCACTTTAAATAACTAAGTAACTTCACAAGTTCCTGAAATTTTACTTAAAAATAGTAAAAAGGTGTCGAATACCTATACAAGAGAGAAATATATATTGGCATCTATTGGTCTTAGATTCATTTAACGAAAGAATTATTTAATTTGACCATCGTTTTACAATCATAAGATCATGCATGGCCATATCTCGTACCTCGGGCCAAGTTGTTCTCTAAATAAAATAAACGGTATCAGCATTCTGACACATACTTTCTCCCATAAGTTTGTCAACAACCCCGTGTGTAAGCGGTGACAGTAAATATACGGAAATGGGATTTGTATAATTTTCTACAGAATTTAAAGGACTATAACATACTAAATTTTTATCAAAATAGTTTGAGCCAATTTTGGGAAAATCTGATTTTCCGTTATTTTATGGGGGTTTTGTGGGAAAATAACATAATTCACAATAACTTTTGATCCGTAATTTTTACAGAAATGGGATCTGTACCATTTTGTTCAGAATATAAAGGACTATAACATACTAAATAAAAATCAAAATCGTTCGGGCCATTTTTTGGAAAATCCTATTTTTCCGTAATTTTATGGGGTTTTATGGGAAAATCCCCATTAAAAATAAAAATTTCTAAGATATGAAAAAAACTATTAAAATTGTAAGGGCCATAACATACTATGTTAAATCAAAACCGGATTTTTGTCAAAAATCCTATTTTTCGTTTTTTTATGGGATTTTTATGGGAAAATAACATAATTTACCATAACTTTTGAACCGTAATTTTTACAGAAATGGGATTTGTACCCCTTTGTTCAGAATTTAAAGGGCTACAACATACTAAATTTTTATCAAAATTGTCAAAAATCCCCATTAAAAATCAAAATTTCAAAAAAATGAAAAAAACGCCTGGAGATACCATGGATTATAACCTACATACCAAATTTCATCGAAATCGAACCACAGGTGTAGTCTCTAGCTCTGTACACATCCAGACACACAGACACACAGACACACACACACACACACAGACATCACTTCGAAAACCACTTTTTTGGGTCCAGGGGGACCCAAAACGAATATATCCACTCAAAACTCAAACTTGAAAATATTGACGAAAACAATACTTTCTCCATATACTATGGTATAGGGGGAGAAAGTAAAAATTATCGTATCGTCAGCAATAGAGAACGTTTACCAAAAATGTTTTATTTAGAGATGTTATTTATATATAATAAGATTAAAATTCTAGAATTGAATCTAGGACCACCCCGTAGTCTGCAGACATTCTACTGCTATTCACACCACATATAGCAACATAATGTGTTTTATTTGAAAGAATTAATAATGCTTTGTAAGTAAATGTAGTAGCAATGGACTTTGTTGCAGGTTAATGTCAACGTATAATACTAACCAGTAATAAATCGTCGTGCGTACCTTATAACCTAGTGCGTATCTTTTAATCAATCCTAATACACTTTTAAGCAACAAGTTCCAAATATTATTGTTTCATTTTTATAATCTTTTTCTTCTAATACTTAGAATGTTGGAAATGGAAATACAGTATAGTGTTTGGCAGCTCGTCGCCTGAGACTATAATAGGATTGAGCATAACAGGATTAAGGTGCCTAAACCTATTTATTACTGTCATAAATCAAAACTGATGGCAATAATGATGAATCTAATACTAACTGAAAGTCTTGGATTTAATTTTAAGATGGTTAAGATATTAAGTTTTATAGTAAAAAAATATTTTTTACAGCAACTCAAGTGGGCTTAGTTATAATAAACAGCCAAATATTTTTCCGTGACATAGTTAGTCTACTGAAGTTAGTGTTAATATTACAAAGTAAACCATGATTAAATTATTTCATAATTATAAAATATTTATTCCGTTTAAAAAATTTTAATATTTTTGCAGGTTATTTTTTTGAATAGGTTAAAACAAAATTCACTTTTTAAAGATATGTAATACATAATTTACTTATAGCACGTAATGAACCGTAATAAAAATGGAAGAAATACTTCCATTTATAAAGTAGCAAAAGGAAACTGTCTTGTTCAAATATTAATTAATTGTCTAACTAACTGAGTTTTCTGAAGAAGGAATCAACGAAACTGTTTTATCTTTCCTACAGAAACTTCGAATTATTATTTTCTGCCTCGTCAATTTTCACGAAAAGTGTTAACAAGCTTGTTTGGCTATACCTTAAAAAGCTCATATATATATTTGTAATTTACAACAACAATAAGTAAAAAATTATTTGATTGAAGATATTTTAATTAGCCTACTGTCATCACATCTGACTTATGTTTAGGCTAGTTTTGATAATGAGGAAGGTGGTTATTTGCAGACCAATATTTAATTTTATTTCATTCTATCTATGGCCAGTCTTCTTCCTATGCTCAGAAAGATTCAAACAGTAGGGTCCAGTCTAAATAAATATCCTGATCTACTGTTAGTGGATCAGCAAAATCATAACTCCGAATTCTTATTTCTACGCAAGAGAAGAGTTGTGGCCAGGAGAAGAAGACTTCATTTTACAGAGGTAAATGTAGAAAGGGAGGATGTATATGTATAATGCATATGTTTTCATTAGCACGATAGCTCAGGCAAAAATAGTTATATTTTGATGACATTTGGTTCAAGCCTGTGAAACTGTGTTTATTCAAACAAGTTCACGTACCAGCTTGATCGGCCTATGGGAACGGATGTTTATAGAGTTTAGGTTTTAGTGGGGCAAAATTTTAGTTTACTATTTTTTATACTAATACTATAACATTTCACAATTCTTTCCAAACCAACTTGTACAGTTCATAAAAACAAATAGTTTAGAACACTAAAGCATTATTATGCGATAAGTAACTAAGGACAAAACTAAAAACTTGTAAATTTAAAATTCTTTTGTTATTGTTGTGGGTAATATATAAACTGTTGTAGCTTGTTTGTTTATGAAATTATTTCAATCAAATTGTTTGATATTTGTATGTATTAATATCGTATTAAAATATTAACGATTTGTAAAAAAACGCTTAAGTAATTTCTTTCTGGCAGAAATTATACATGGACATTAAACCAATGTTATTTAAAAGGAGAAAAACATTTGAAAATTCACTTTGTCTGCAAGTTAGCTGAGGCAAGGGTATTTATAAGTAACCTTTTATAATAGAGTTAGTTCAAACGACAATAATGATAAAACCATTGACTATGTTGTATTAATAGTCAAAGATAAAACTAAATACATATGAGGTAACCAGTAGTTTTTTTTTTTGAGAAGTAATAACTTAAGGTAAAAATTATTGGAACATGCTGTATTATCAGGTTGTTTTGTGATGTTAAAATCGTAGTTGATGAGTTTGATTTGTATTACATAGAAGTAGATCACTATATTAAAGCCATATCAAGACATTGTAAATGAGTAATTAATTAGAAGATAGATTAACAGAATAAATGTTTAAATAGTATAACGATGAAATATAAAATATTATGTATAAAACATGTAAAAAAGAATCCCGCATTTACAACTCACTAATCGAATTTAATTTTATTCTTTTACGTGACATTGATTTATTTCAATCCAATTTTGAACGATTAGTTTGAAAACTAAGTTTGAATAATAAATACGGTTTCTAGTGATGTATTACTGACGACTAACTTAAGTATTTAAACAACTCACATCCCGGTTTTGCATCAAACTACTACCATGCGTTTTTATTGTTTCTGTAATATATTATATTGCTGCATCATGCGAGATAGGGGATAAACTGTCCCTGATGTTATTGCTACAACATTGCTGCTTTTCGTTTCATAAACACCATCAATCTTCTTCACCCTTGTGACAAAGCTGACACCTGATATTTACTTTGGACGTTTAAAGTTTTAAAAGCCCATAAATAATCTATGCCCACAGTCTAAATAGGCTGGTCTTATGTGCATAGTAAAAGAAATTAGGGGTTAGATGGGATACATTTTAATTTTATGAAAATATTTAGGTATTAGTTTTGTTTTATCATTTATATTTGAGTTGTTTTTGTGGTAGTATTTTTGTTACTACCGCACCTTTTATTTGGTTAAAGTAGTACTTTGGTTACTAGTTATCTCAAAAACAGAGTTTTAGTATTTGAGTTTCAGTAAGACAAGAATTATTTATTATGGATTTTGTTTATTTTAATTATTATCCCTAACAAAAACATTTTTTTCAAACTAATCCATAGTAAATAAGACAAATCAATGCATGTACAAAAAAGGATTAGATATATTCTATTGCACACGATATCTAAGGAAAAAAAGTTAATAAAAATTAAATTAAATATTAAAAACATATATGAACAATTGGCATCCATAAGGTATGATTTCTGATATTTTTTTAATATAAATTAATGATCTATTAAGTTGTATACCGTTTTACCACCATTGAGTTTTAATTACTTATTCCGGCTATCAACAGATCAAACTTCCGTGACACGTTATCAGAGTTTACCTACCAAGGGAAATGCTAGCTGTTCCATTTAGTGACGAATGTCACAGTATGCATATTTGTTCCAAATCTCAGATCAAACTTATTATAAACTGCTACCTAAAAGTTTGTTTTGTAAATAGTTTTTCTAATAAATTAGGCTGGTAAAACTGAGTATATTTTTATTCATTTATCATTCGTAGCTAAGATTTGACTAGATAGTTGTTTGATTTTTTGCAGTTCTTGGGAGAAATCATCT